TATGACAAAAAATATCAAATAAATTAAGAAATGAAGATGTTATTAATGTAATTTAACAATTTTAATTATTGATTTATAGTTATGGAATAAGCATAATTTTGTTGTAGACGCTACTGACTGTTGTACAAAAGAAAAATAAACATGTGATGGGTTTACCTTTCTCGAGAGCATATATAACAAATGGCACTGTTTTTAATTCAATGACAGTTCGTCTTTGAACACAAGCATATTTTCAAGGTGGTAATCACTCAACACATTGTGGGAGGGCCCACTCTCTATGGGCCCCCCACCTCATGGGCCCCAGTGCAACCACACTGCCTGCACTGTCTATATTTATGCCCCGTTTTCTGAATCTCTCTGTGGCAAAACATACTTTAATTTGATAGAGGAACCCTGTAGTTCCTTATTGAACCATTTTAATGAGAGAAATTTCAAGAGTATATAATTTAATTCTGAAATGACTGAACTCACAGATAGCAAACGCAGGCTATTATTACATAGGTTTCCAAAACTGATTTACAGCTGTTATCGATTTTTCTCTTTCTGTATTTCCAAGACTCTTCTTTGCAACACCTTCTCCATGATTCTAATTTGTCCTACAGATGTATATTCCAGCTTAGAGCCAAATGATAGAGTTGGAGATGGAAAAGGGCCTGTTGTGGAAAGAGACACCCTCCAGGTAATCTGCTGTTTGAATGTAATGAATTTCTTTATATTTTTTTACATTGTGCTCACAGACTTCATTACCTGTCCCTAGTATGGAGAACGGAGATTGTAAATGTTGTTTTACAGGGTCTTGTTAAAAAAAAGGATTGCTTTCCAGTGACTTGCATTTGTAACTGTCAGTGTTTACCCTGCAAACTGACACTAACACTGTCTGTTTGCATATTTCTTTACCTAGGCGATAAGTGAGAGAAAACACTTCATCAGAGCTGGCAGGCCTGCAGTGGGCCTCATGGATAAGAAACCTCCACCACTGGACTCCTGGGTGTAAACATGACAACGCAGCCAGCCAAACATGGTTAAATCCTGTAGAGACACTCTCCACTGGTGAAATATGGATTTGTGCCATTTGCTCATTCTTGTACAGACAGAGAAAACACATTCAATTAAAAATAACTTCCTTTGTTTACAGGAAAAAAATGTGCCAAACATTTACATGTATTTATTATGGAGATTCTTTGGCAGATGATTTAATAGATTTTGTCATTTAGGATGATATGCTGTATGTCTGAAACTCACAAAGAATTATGTATGACATCTGAAATAGCCTAAATATGCAAACTGTGGTGAATCATGACTCCAAAGAATATATGACATGTACAATTTGAATTTTACTGCTACACAAGTACGAGATAATTTATAATACTTCTAGTTTGTCAAGCTTAAGGCTTAAAGTGACACGTGGATCTGTTGTTGTCCATCCCCATGGGTTCTGGGCTGAGAAGATTCTCATATGAAATAATTTTAAAAACATTTTTTGGTCTGTGTTTGAGATAATTAGGATTAGGGCTATTGTCGGCCTAGTCATCAAAAACATCCAAATGATTTGGAATTCAGTTTATTCTTGACAAAAACCTGCCATCACACTAGACTGTGCGGTCATTAGTAAATCCTCTCTATTCCATTTGTTTCACGATAGGCAAAATGGGATTGTAAATGTGTAACAAAGGACTGTTAATATTCTAAATGAAGGTATTTATATTGTAATATTTATTGTAATACCCATGTTATTAATTAAAGGTTATTGATGTGCATTAGCTAATACCGGTAAGTGATCCTACATTCTATACAACTCTGCTTTGCAGTGGTCCTTTTTGCATTGCGATGTTGAATGAAAAATGAAAATAAATGATATGCATAATTTCTCATTTTTATATGTATTCTCTTTTTGTATTGCAGACTGGATTTTACGCTGCGCTTCATTTTATTCATGGGTAACTAAGTGTACTACTAAACAGCACCCACTGGCTACTTAAACAACCCCACTTTTATGTGTCCTGAACAAGCTTATATTAATAGATAAAGCAATTAAGTGTCCTTGTAAGTGTCCTTATGAGTTGTCCTTAGTGCATCTAGTGAATTGTGGATATTCTTCTTTCAAACATTTTCATGGTTGTCTGATGTACATGTGTTCACAACCAGGGCAATTTTTCCTATTATTTACACTACACAAAGTACACAGGACACGGTACAACATGATAAAAAAATTTCATGTATGAGGACTTGAACTTTAATGCGACTTAACCTCTTCAACTTCACCCCTCCCTCCAATATAAACTATTTTTTATCTTTTTTTAGGGGGGACAGAGGTCTTAATGGGGAAACAGCAGTTCAACAGTAGATACCACATAGAAGTAGAATACATCATATGAAAACTCGGATCCTGAATATTATATTAGGCACCTATACAAACTTTTAAAATTTAGACCTTATGGGGGCTTAGAACATTATTATGGAAGTATATGATGGCCATTGTCATGCTCCATTATGTCTCATAAGTTGTTGCAGCACTTTTGGGATGGATACCTCTTGTTACTCAGATTTGGTGCTAAATTTAAGACCTTTTTTTTTTTTTTTTACCACTCAGGTGTTGATAAAAAAAAAAAAAAGGGGTCAAAAATCCCTCCAAATGCCACAGTAAGATACCAAGACCTTAGGAAACACCACCGAAAAATCCGTGCTGTGATTTGGTATTGAAACTTTTGACATTTGGAGATTTCGGTAAGGACTGCATTTTTCAGCAATTGGAGGGTGAGCGCTTCTGTTCTGGAAACTGGAACTGTCTAGTTTTGTGTTTGAAAAGTTTCATGAGGCTGTGATTATCCTAGATGTCACAATAGGTCATTTTACACAGTGAGTTAAAAAAAAACAGGTCTCACTACATGGAATGGCTACTGTGGTGACTAACATCATCACATATGAGTAAAATTGGGGTCATTGAATTCACAAGAGCCTCAGCTTTCCAGTCACACCTAATGTATGCAATACAATGGGTGAAAATAACACATTTGTACTACATGAGAATAGCTACATGGGACTAGCATGAAGTGCCCAAGAACCCATTTTCACAAAGATATCTTGAGGTCAGAGGTCAAGGTATCCCTTGCTAACATTTAGCCCAACTTTTGGAGCCCCCTGACCTTTCTGACAAGCTTGAAATGGTTGGTACTAAAGGCCAGTGGATTCCTTAGGTCTTCTTGTTTCATATGATAGCATCTTCACTCTAGCTTCAAAACTCAGCCCACTAGGCATCAGCGCAACTGCAAATGTGGGTCATATTGGGGTTAAATGCCAGTTTGCTGCATTTGTCAGCTGTAAAAGATTTCTGGCACTCAGTGCAATGATATGCAAGCTTTCAAAGTAGTCTAACAAGCTCCAAAAAGGCCACATCGGTGCCAAATTGCAGGTGCATTAGCCAAAAATACACTGACAAATTTATTTAATTATGCAAGGGGAGCAGTCTGGAAAACATGTTCAACTCCCGGTTATTACAAACAGAAAATAACTAACAAAAATATGGCATAAAACCTACTGTAATATGACCCAGAAACTATTGCAATAGTGTTCAGATTGCTTTGTCTACCCCCAGTATATATGCGGTTCTTTGCAAATATGAGAATGTTGCAATGCAAAGACATAACATTGATATGTAGAAACAAAAGCAGCTCATTTTAACTTTGAATTTCTGATTGAATATCTCATAAATCACAGACTTGGCAAAAAGTGTTTGACAATATTTGGTTTATACATGCACTATCAATGCATGTCGCAGTTGTAACATAATGATAGTGATGAATCATTTTCTGTGAACATCTTGCTTTGTTTATATTCATATTTCCTCTCTATTTAGGACCACATAAATATGTTTAGTGCATTTATACCCCCAGGCAAGCTGTCAGGACATTCATGTAACCTCATATCTGCAGTAGCCATGAGGAGCTATTATGAACTTATGAACTTGTATGTTGCACACAGCCACCGAGAGGGCTGAAATGTGTTGGCATTAGTCATGTTTCCTCCTGCGGGCTGCAGGGCTCACTTACATAAGTGGTGACATTTTAGATAGGCTGCACGCTGAGGATTCATATATGTATATGTCTCATATACATTAATGAGGCTGGATGAAATTTCTTATGCCACACTAATCTGCAGTTATGTATATTTCATCGCTTTTTATTTGTTGTCATTTGTTTAAGTGGGTGTACGACGAAATGATGGTGATGATTGCATATAAGAGCTGTCAGACAGCTGCTATTAGGACACAAAACCAGCAATTAGCTAAAAGAGTATGCAAATGAGATCAAATCAGTTCCCTTCACAACCTAATGAAAATGTTTAATTCAATTTAAGATGAGGAGGCAGAAGTACACATATTGAGTCTACACTGGCCTCTTGTGGAGATTGCAAAGCATAAATTAACAATATTGTTAATTGGTAATTGATTTTCTGCTTTAGAAGGGGTAATAGTTCCCACAATTAAGTTTCTGCATTTGATTTGTTCACATTTTGGTGAAGTTAAGTGCAAGAACTTCACAATCTCTAATCCATCAGTGTTCTTTATAAATAAATCGTCACGGTTAAATCTTTTGATTTCAGCAGTGTTGCATATTGCAGCTCATAAATGAACTGTCATAAATCTACTGTAAGGCAAGTTTTATGGTTAATCAGGAGAAAAGCATACATCACAATGAGACAGAATATCAGTGGAAATATGGATAGTCATAAGTTCCTGGCGGGGAGAGAGAGAGGAGGGCCGAGCAGGGCCTTAGTGACATCTCCAAACATGTCAGCACAGCACATTGGACAGCACAGCCCTGCCCTCAGAACCAAACCTCAAGATCAACAAGGGCAAAGCTGTGTTCTCGTTGCCCCTGTTGTCCTTTAACAAGTCCCTCCACGAAAGGTTGAACCGATTGCAGGTGTCCTCTCCAACGGATCCATCCCGCCTTCTCATCTGATATTCAATCTTTGGATTTAAACCTTTCCTCCTCTCCACCATGACCGTTTCAGTCTGCTCCAACCTTGGCTTTGTCCGCTCTCTGAATGTCCTGCTTCTGATGTTGACTGGTTTGAGCTTGAGCAGTCCCATCAGGTCTCCTGAGAGCCATCACAGGGTATCAGTCGGTAGGGATGTGGGTGATAATCCGCTACTTGATGCACAGGACTTTCTGAGCCAGTTTCTGTCCACAATGAACCTCACAGAGCTGAGGCCCCAGGTCAGGCCCCTCGCTGCCCGTAAGGAGCCACCAGAGTACATGCTGGAGCTGTACAACCGATTTGCCAATGACCGCACTGCTGTGCCCTCAGCCAACGTTGTGCGCAGTTTCAAGAACGAAGGTAGAAACTTGTTTTTGTTCAACAAAACATAGAATTTTGGGAAATGTATATATTGCATAAAAATTAAAGCTTTGTTTTGCAGTTTTTAAAGGTTTCGTGCAAAGTGATTTATAGAAGTCAAAGTGCTATAAATCTGGAAGTGTTAGTAGTTTTTGGAGCTTTGGAAATGTATAAGTTATATGGTTTGAACAAACCAAAAACATCTGTCATGTGTATTTGATACAAGGGTACATTTTAATATTTAACATAGTTTAACTTGATTTTTGATCACAGAAACATACAAAATGCATTGAGACACATTATTGATGTTTTGATTTCAGATTCCTCCCCCTTCAGTGTAACGGCCAGGGGTGTCAGGATACATCCCCTGCTTTTCAACATCTCAATACGCCACAGTGAACACATAACAATAGCTGAGCTTCGCCTTTTCACCCTGTTCCAGAAGGCCCAGAGACCAAATGTTGGCATTGACTGCAAGGTGACCATATACAAAATACACGAGGGCGTTCTTTGGACAAAAGAGGTGGGGAAAGAAGGGAGAAGGAGGGATAAAGAGGAGGTGGTGGAGATGAAGGATTTGGAGGAACTGGTGACAAAGCATATCCATGCCAAAGATAACAGCTGGGTGTCGTTTGACCTGACTCATGTGGTTGCACTCTGGCGGAAGTCAGGCTGTGCAACTCACAGATTGGAGGTTCATATTGCAAATCTGGGGTCAGAAGAGGAAGAGGCCAGGCAGGAGGTCACAGAACAGGGCCAGAGGTTGGTTGAGGTTGATATCGACAGGAGCTTGGATGGGAAACACAATGCGGTGATGATTGTATTCTCAGACGATCAGAGCAGAGACCACAAACAGGATAAACAAGAGCTCAACCAGATGATCGAACATGAGAATGACCTTCCTGAAAACGTGGGCCGGCGCCAGCAAGCTTTCTGGGAGCACGTTAATCACAACGCCAACCAGGACGAGCTGGACAAACAGTCCCTGGTGCAGCTGCAGTCCAACGTTATCTATGACACGCCTCCCCGAATCCGTCGCAATGTTAAGAGCGAGCCCTGCAAGAGGACCCCACTCTTTGTGGATTTTAAAGACATTGGCTGGGATACGTGGATCATCCAGCCTGTGGGCTACGAGGCGTACGAGTGCAACGGCGTGTGCAACCCACCTATGACCTCTGAGGTCTCGCCTACCAAACATGCCATAGTGCAGACACTGCTGAGTGTTAAGAGCCCAGAGAGGGCATCGCGTGCCTGCTGTGTACCCACTAAGTTAGAGCCCATCTCACTCCTTTATCATGATAACGGCGTGATCACATTCAACCACAAGTATGAGGGAATGGTGGTGGCGGAGTGTGGCTGTAGATAGTCTTGAACACTAGAGATAGAGACTGTGCTATCTACTTATCTTCTCATGTGCTTGTTTCCACAGTATCTAAGATCTCATACAGTGGTGTGTAAACTAGATTTATAGCTGTAAATTAGGGATGGACACAAATCTGTGCTAAATGATGTACATTTGTAATTGTATAAAGGTGAAATAGTTATAATTATATTAGTGTAGAATATAAATTTGTCTGTCATGATTTATTATAATTATTTGAGTTGGAGTTTTGTATTTTGCTTTTGGGTAAGTTCCACACTTCATTGTAAATTACAGGCCATATTCTTGCACAGATGGCATCAGCGCCATGCGACACAGTGACGGATAAAAGAAAAAGAAAGAAGATTCTGACAGCAGATGTCTGAGTATTCTTGTAAAAATCTCTCTCCACTTTATTCAGATGAAGCGAGCTCCATGTCATTAGGGGCGAGTCAAAAGGTTAAACTCTGCAGCACTGATATCAGTTACCATAACAACCTTTTGAATAATTTGGAAATAGGTCTCCGTGTGTGAGATCTAAGCACAAATGATGTACTCTGAGTGCAAAGTTTCAAGGTACAGTGTCTGACAAAAGCGCTTGCGCTTTGGGTTATTTCAGTTCAGGTGCTGGAACAGAATACACTTAATAGACTGAATCTTCCACATACTATCTTATTGCAAAATCTAAATGTAGTATCATTGATTTTTCACCACAGGCCTTTCTCAGAACTTTCTTTTTATCATCTACATTTTGCTCTGGCAGAAATTATTCCTAATGCACAAGTCGAGGAGTTCCATCTTATTCAAGCTGATTTGAAATATTGGCATTTTAGGATATATTACGATGATTTGCACTACTGATAGGACGCTGTGTGTTTTTTTAAAATATGAAAAGTCTCTTATTTTCAATTGTAATTGAATCACAGTCTTGCCAAGATACTTTATAAGTAGATATACATGCTGCAGATTTGTAAATGGTATCATTTGTTTCTGCGCCCTGTGGCATGTTGGAGGCACTGAAACGTTTTAAAGAATGTGACATTTTTCTTCTTATTTGCTTGCCAAACTTGCAGAAAAATATATTTTCGCTGGCTTTTGACCAGGAGAGGATTTTCACGGTGTCTCGGAGCACTTCGGGGCTCTGAAAAATGAACAATTTCTCCTACCTAACGTTGCTGTCAACTGCTGTGAATTCTCTCTTCACGCCCCAGCCATTCATATCCTGCTTTTGGTTCTCACACCAATATTAATGTTATTATGGGTAGGAAAAATAAAACATCTGAAAACAAATATAGTCACTGAGCAACTTCTGATCTCTTGTGCACCCTCATTTATTGTCAGGTAATCACAGCATTCCCTACCTAACAACCTTAATCCCCATCCCTCTAGCGTCACATGCCTGGAGGGCCTCTCTCTGCCCGCTCCCATGCCATAGTGATAACGAGGTGTCAGAGCCTGGAGTCTTGTAGACCGTCACTCAGGATGAGACGCCGCTCCAAGTGGTAGCGTTTGTTAGAAGGTGGTGTCAGATTCCTGGTCTCCAACACCAACATACTCTATTGACAATCCTGCCATCAGGTTGCTCGGTGCCCTCTGAACCCTCCCACTTCCTTTTTCTGACACGGGCATGCTGCACGCTCTTATCAAGGCCACAGCAACAGTACTACAGATGGAAAAAATACATGTCACATCATCACCTAGCTTCTGCTGTTAACAGTCGGAAGCAGATAACAATAATGGAATAACACTGTGGAACTTTCTAACTCAATAGGATCCTCACTCAGCACGCGGATTTACATAGGCCAAGTGTGCAGGGCAGAGATATTGACTCACAGTAAACAAATTGATTCCCCAGTGTGAAACTTATTGAGAATAAAGTTTCAAAATGTAGAAAATATTCCTAAAAACAGCAATATTCCTGACTTCTTTGTTGGCTCGTTGCCATTGTAGCTTGGGCACTGTACATGGTTGGTGTGAGGAGGGGGCTGAATCTTTAATTTCAGTTAATAAAAGGCCCCTTCCTGCGTTGTTAATATTTACCTCTGACTCTAATTTTGTCTTTCCAATGTCATTTTCTGTTTGTTTTGTCAGCTTGAACACTCTGATATTTACTGTGTGTTGTCGTGGGTTCATCACATTCTGTTGTGCTGGCTTTATTCTATGGAAAACAGAAGCAAACAACTGCACCGACTGTTTGAACGTTAACAGAGCTTCAATAAAAATACAAAAAGGAAGAGTTTCATTACTCTAAAATAATTAAGTGTTATAAATGAATAGTTTTGTTTATGTGTCTTACTGTTTTAGGAACTGAATTTGTAGTTGTCCAAATCTCATATGTGAACATTTCACACCTAAACATCTGCAACTGAAACAGTGCTTAATATCTGTGTACTAATGGTACGGCCATGGTATTTGATCAACACAAACATTTACTATTTGGGTTATTATTTCTTTAAAAGTAGAGATATCTATGACAGGTCAAGCTCACCATAATAACAAATATTTTCACTGTTGAAGATACAATAAATAACACAACAGCTGATTTTTCATAACACCATCATTTTCCTTTACTTAACCTTTACATGGTCCGGAAAATGGATCCTTGACAGTGTCTCCTACACAGCTGAGCAGGATTGTGTGTTGGCAACAAGCTATTGTTGTTCATTGAAAGCCAGTTTTAAATAATAAAAAAAGATTTATCTCATTGGGAGACATGGGTAAGAGAGTATGAGAGAGATTTGGACAGGGGACAATTGTCATAACTGTAATGTCAAACTATATTATAACCACAAGGGGGAGACTTTATATTACGGTAAAACCACTGCACCACAAAAGCGACACCTCATGATGTGTTTTAAGTACATCATTTTAAGGTTAAGCCTTGTCGAGACTCAAAAAATCAAGATGTTGCTACTGGTATGCACCAAGCAAATCTAAAATGATATTAAAACTTTCTATGACAACCAACTGGTGACAAGAAAAGACTTATTTAGACATATAAAGAAAATGTTTGAATGTTCTAAAATGAAACTTTGTGGGTGATTTCTAATTATGCATTAAGCTTATCATAGGTGTTTAGTTCCATGTGAGGGTTTTGTGACAGCGTACATCTCCTCTGACTCTACTACAGTAAATGTACCAGTATGCATTTTTATCAGTGGGGAATTTCAGGAGACATTAATGTGATTGTATGGCATTAGCTGCCTTGCTGAATATACATATATATCTCAACCATGAGGGTTATGTATATTTTTACCTTCCTTGATGGTGAGAGCTAACTATATTTGACTTAAAGCATTATGTTCCATTTTTAAAGATGTCAGTCCAGCTGCAAACTCTTACTGCCTCCCCATTTCCTTTAACGTTTCAGTATGGTACATGTACCCTGTCATCTTTAAGTACCCACAAGGTACAGTTCACACATCAAACAGTATTTTGCAGCTATCAGCACCAGAAACCAGTGAACTTGGGAGAAGTTTCCCTTGTAGGCTTTCTCCAACAAGGACAGAAATCTATTCAATTTAACCCAAACCACAGCTTTTTCTTCCTAACCTTAACCAAAACTCTTTGTGGTAGAAAGCCCTTGAGGAAAATTTCTCCTAACTGGGAAATGAGCCCATTGTGAGATACTGGGGATACAACTGTGAAATGGTATTCATGCCCATATTGCCTCAGTTGATAATGTGTTTTGGGGGTGCACATCCTATAAACCACACAGTTATTAAAGCTACACATTCAACCTGGGGTTTGGTGCCAGTGAGGGTCTGGGACCACTGAGAGATTGCTCACTTAGCCCTGTTGATAATCCAGCACTAGTTAGATTGTTCAGATTATAATGCATTTTGATTATCTGACTTATTTGACTGTTGAATATTGAATCAAACCATTGCATATTTCAATTTGGGTGAATAAACAGGACATGGCCTACGTTTTCAGGAATACTGGAACATACAGTAAGACTACTCAAAAGAAACTAACTGGTTCATTGCAGTAAAAATAGCAATCACTTGCTTTAAATGACATTATATATAAGGGCAGTGATTTGCAATCAGTAACGTTGGATAGCTTTGATCTTTCTAACAAGCACGGTAACAAACAGCAGCGCCACGCCTGTCACAACGCGTGCATGCGCAGTTCAAGCGTGGTGGGTGGAGAGGAATTTTTTGTTTATTTTCGTGGCCAGTTAACCAGTAAACGTGCTGTTATATTATTATTTGCTGTTTTTATAGTTTAGCATAATAAGGCAAACAGATAAGCGGCTGTGCATTTACCTAGTAGGGTATTTTACCATTTCGTGAGGTAGCGGATTTGGGCCATCACAGAGGAAGGTTAGCTAGCGAGCTAGCGTCAAGTCGATGAGGGTCTTGTAGCGTTAGTTAGCTGTTAGCGTATGTGCTAGCAGGCTAGCCACAATATTATTAATGCAAGATAGATAGCACAACAAAATTTAGCAAGCTAAAGCCACTCGCTTATCGGCCTGCACCACTGGGAGTAACGCCACGGCGCGGAGAAATCACCGTAAGTTCACAAATCAGTTCATGTTTGATTCAGCTAGCGATAATGCTCGGAGATTAATGCCAGCTAACTTGCTAACGGTATTCTACGGCAAGCCCAGTGTTAGCTTACGCCAACACTCAACATTAGCTGGGCAAGGTTAGTTATCTTAATGGTCCTCAACAGTTATATATGCAATAAATATGTGTATATATTTTAAAAGCCATAACATATACGCTAGTTTTGTAATTCAGGACAAGTTAGGTTGCACATTACCAAGCCAACGCCAACGATATTATCACGGAGGATAATTGCGCTATCTGTGTTTATTAGCTTTGGTACCCATCCTGGCAAACGCTAGCTACGTTTGCTTTACAGAATGCTTTGTAAAACCTAACCTTAAACTAATGCTCGTTTTATCTGACTCCTAATACGATAAACCCGCTATAGAAATAGAGAAAACGTGGTTTTTTGGTGTCATAAGAGTGTCTTGTTTGACATTTCAGCGTGGATGAAATGCTCATATTTACAGAGGATGTGCAGTGCGAGTTTCCGCATGAGTAAACATGAGCTGCAACGTTAAAGCAGTAGCTGTCAGTTTGTAATGTATCCCTGACAGCAGTTGTAAACACATGTCACATTAAGATGGGTATTTTCATAGTGTTATATATGAGATGCCCATGTTTTTAAAGTTGCATGAAAACCATTTTCTCCATCAACTGTGGCTAATTGCTGTCATTTTAAGGGTACATTAGATTGACTTCAGAATGGGGCTACCAGTGGACAGACCCTTCTCTTACTACACCCGACATTACGTTAAGGTGGTACACAGATTGTACATTCAGTGCCACTTTCTGTAATACCAATACAAGGTAAATTTTGGTTGGCATACCGATCTGATCTGCCAGTCATAAGACCCTGCTCTTTGTTTTTCAGGTTGCTAAGCTTGGGCCTCTTCGGATCAACAGTACTTTCACCCTGACGTTTCTACTGGTAAAGACATACAGGATACAACTTCAAAATCTCCCCAAGGTTGAAACCCAAGCAGCAAGATGTCAATCACGAACACTCCCACAAGCAACGATGCCTGTCTGAGCATCGTTCATAGCCTGATGTGCCACCGACAGGGAGGGGAGAGCGAAAGCTTTGCCAAGCGAGCAATTGAGAGTCTTGTCAAAAAGCTGAAAGAGAAGAAGGATGAGCTGGATTCCCTTATCACAGCCATCACTACGAATGGAGCTCATCCTAGCAAGTGTGTAACCATACAGAGAACTTTGGATGGGCGCCTACAGGTATAGTAGGAGATATAGTGACAAATTGGGTAAAAATGACGCTCTTTGTAATTATAACAGAAAAAAATCTTCTTCTTAGGTTGCAGGTCGCAAAGGTTTTCCCCATGTTGTCTATGCGCGACTGTGGCGATGGCCTGATCTACACAAGAATGAATTAAAACACGTGAAATATTGCCAGTATGCCTTCGACTTGAAATGTGACAATGTTTGTGTCAACCCATACCACTATGAGAGGGTCGTCTCTCCAGGCATTGGTGAGTAAAGATCACATGTTTGTTAGTCTCGATTAGATCTCATTGTTTAGGTAAGGTTGATAAAATTTGATGTATTTTGTCTCTTTTAAATGAAAGAGTTTTAATTCACAGCCCTTTATGTCATTTATTTAGAGCAACAAACACATTCCTAGTACTCACATTCTTAGTGACAATATGAGGAAGTGATCTGGTTTAAAAAAAAATGAGCATTACTCAGAATTGACTTTCATAAACTCACAGAGTGATATATCTGTTCCTTTTTATGTTTTTGCAGACTTATCAGGGCTGACTCTTTCAAGTTCAGGTAAAGGGGTGCCAAAGTTTTCCTGTTTGCTCGTTGAAGATTGTGTGGATGTCCATTAGTCTTACCTATGTCTTGCTGACTTCATGTAGGTCCCCTCATGGTAAAGGATGAGTATGACTATGACAACCAGCAGTCTCACTCAAGCTCTGAAAGCCACCTGCAGACTATCCAGCATCCCCCGTCAAGACCCGGTCCACAGGAGACTTTCAGCAGCCCCGCTTTGCTCCCCCCATCAGAGGGCAGCAGTTCAGCTTCAACCTCGGCTTTCTCCACCATCAGCGCTGGACCCTCAAGTGAGATACTACAGGGGAACTACACATAAATACAAAACATAGTGGAAAATAGACTCTGCTCTTTTTTTACCAGTCAAAAATGAATCAATGTAAACAAGTAAAAAATGCTGTAAAATTATTAATTTTGTGTCTTTTTAAAGTTCATTTTTCAAATTGCCTGTTGATTAGTTTGTAATTTCATATGGACAAAGTTACTTATAATGCAATAAACATCTATTTTTAGTCTTTAGGTTTATGATCTGATCTGCCACACAGGCTTGAATTTACCACAACTTTGGCAACACAACTATTTAATAATTTGTATTTACAGATCCTCCCCCCAATTGGAGCAGAAATGGCAGCTTCACCCCTGCAGTGCCTCAACATCAGAACGGGCATCTACAGCATCATCCACCCATGCCTCACACAGGGCATTACTGTGAGTGGATGGAAAACAAAACTTCTTTGCAAAGTCTTAAAAATAGTCTAGAAGTTGTAGTCTTAAGTTGATGTCCACATTAAGGGAATTTACCTGGTTTAAAAGTTGGTTTGAAAATGTGTAAAATTGACATGTGGCGTAGATCAGAACTCTTTTTCCCCGGCAGATTTTCCATTATAATCCTTTATACATTTATGAATATGTGCATGACCTGTACTCGGGTCTGAATAACATGTCACATCATAAGAACTGCTGTGATTTCAGAGTTGCATGTTCAAAATTAATATTGGCATGTTCTTGCAGGGCCTGTTACCAATGAAATTGCGTTCCAGCCGCCAATATCCAATCACCCTGGTGAGTATTAAGCTGCAGATGGAAGACAGTACATATATTCAGTGCAATCACCATAACCTAGTTGACCTGAGGTTGGTTGTTTGTTTGTTTCAGCTCCAGATTACTGGTGCTCCATTGCATACTTTGAGATGGATGTCCAAGTTGGAGAGACGTTTAAGGTGCCATCCACATGCCCAATAGTGACGGTGGATGGCTATGTTGATCCATCAGGAGGGGACCGCTTTTGCTTGGGCCAGCTGAGTAACGTCCACAGGACAGAGAACATAGAGAGAGCCAGGTACTCCCCCACACACTCTTGGAGATATATCATCATCTCTCTGCTGTGGGACTAAGATATACACTTATTCAATCAACTAATGTTTACTGTATGACAGTAATGCAAAGTGTCTCACTTTTCTCCTTTCTGTCCTTAGGCTCCACATTGGCAAAGGTGTGCAGCTGGAGTGCAAAGGTGAAGGAGACGTGTGGGTACGCTGTTTGAGTGATCACGCAGTGTTTGTACAGAGCTATTACTTGGATCGGGAGGCTGGACGTGCCCCTGGAGATGCAGTTCACAAGATCTATCCCAGCGCTTACATCAAGGTGAGAAAGCAGTACAGCAGAGACAAGTTTGTGTCATTCAGATCTACAAATCCCTGATTGCTCTTGGCACTGGATACATTTACATGCACACTAATATTCCAGTCATAATACAATTACTGGTCTAATGTGACTAAGATGGGGCCATTGTAAAAACCATTCTCTTATGTTAGTGCAATTATGCTCAGAGTTGCAGTAGCCATACCCACAGTAAAATATATGGAGCATCCCCCCCTTTAACATGTATATATGGTAAAAACTTAATCTAACTCTGATGTGCTCAGACAGTCCAAATGCTTAAATGTCTATTCATGATCTTGTCATCAGATTTAAGCGTTTGTCCTGTCCCCTGCCAGGTGTTTGACTTGCGTCAGTGCCACAGGCAGATGCAGCAGCAGGCAGCGACAGCTCAGGCAGCAGCTGCAGCCCAGGCAGCAGCAGTGGCTGGGAACATTCCCGGGCCTGGCTCTGTGGGAGGCATCGCCCCTGCCATCAGTGAGTGTGCATACTGCTGCACTTACCTTTCAACAAGTGTATTATTATGATGGCTTCTCATTGTCATCTTCTGTGACTAGACTAATATCAGGGACTTTATTATGGCACTAGCATGCGCAGTGTTGTGAGCGAGAGAATCATAGAGCAGTGTGAACGGAGGAAAAGCAGCCAGCAGTGTCAGTTAATGATGAAGAGAGGAAAAACTGGGACACAGGCTGTTTTCTTAATAGATAGCTGTTCAGTCAGCAGTAACTAAATTAGACTGAGTTAAATCATTTGAACTTAGTCATGATCAAGGCAAGTGTTGCCGGTACAACTGTATTATGGAGGAAAATATAAATACTGGGTTGGGATATATCAACATATATGTGATAGGCGTTGTGACGTGTTTGATAATAGAGATTTGATGATTGCTTTGACATTATAGGGGGTAAGTTCACTAATTTTAAGAAGACAAAAACCCTGGACACTGAAAAGTCTTGAAGATTTCTGTCAGATTTCAAAATGTGTTGATATCAAAAGGTATTTATTTACACGTCAGTGGCATTTTAGTACTAAAATAGAGCTGAGGTTGAAGAACTGTGACTGCTCCTCTTCACGTTTTAGAGTTACTGCTTTAGAACAAACTTTGATTGAATGACCACATCAACAGTGAGTACATACCAAGCAGTTTGCTTTGCTTTGTCTGCCACTGCACTTTGAACTGCTTTACAAACTAGTTTTAGCAATGACAATTTCAGTTGTAGATGATGAAATAAAGTTCCACGTAGCAAACATCACTATAGGCTAACATTTACACAGTGAATATATTCTGTGGGCTTTAGCCCGAAGGCACTAAAACGTGTTGCCTGATCAGAGTGGGAGATATGCATATAACAGTTTGTACTTTACCACTCGGCCGTGTGTCTATCCAGTATACGTTCAAACTTTTACTGCAGTAGTAACTTTGCTAACATATCTGTGCAAGCTTTGGCCTATAGTGTCACATCGATCTTAAAGTTGCTGCCTGTAATTCTCCCGCAGGTCTGTCTGCCGCTGCAGGCATCGGGGTTGACGACCTGCGCAGGCTGTGCATCCTGCGGATGAGCTTCGTGAAGGGCTGGGGGCCCGACTACCCACGGCAAAGCATCAAAGAGACACCCTGCTGGATTGAAATCCATTTACACCGAGCTCTGCAGTTACTGGATGAAGTTCTGCACACCATGCCCATAGCTGACCCTCAACCCCTCGACTGAGTTAAAAGACATGAACTGTACAAAAAAAAGAAAACAATCAGACTGTACTTTTTAACAGACCACTCCACCTATAGGCCCGGAGAACTGAAGGAGGACTGCAACCATGGGGATGCTGAGTAGGTTGTAGGAGTAAGAACAAGGGCATAGAGGCCGGCAGTATACTCCAAACACGCTGCTTTTAAATCCAGCGCTGCAAGCGGTTGCCAGTATACAGAGCGAGACTCCAGATCTGTAAGTTCAGTGGCTTACAAACAGCAGCTGGAGGAACCTGTGAAACACGCTGGGAGGAATCGTACGCCAAGAGGATGAAAAAGGAAGCCGGTATTCTGGCATTGTTTACCACCTGAAAACTTCGTAACAGCATAAAGCGAACAAGGCTTTGTGTCTTTCAAATCTCGTGTCGATACATAATACTCACACAGTAATGTGGATTAAAGAGCATGCCAACAGCGAGATTAACACGCTCAAAATTCTATCAATTATTCAGTAAGTGTTGGTGTTTTACAGAAGGAACCACAAGAGTGCAGGGTGTCAAACAAAATGATTCATACTCAGCTGTCGACTTTTTGACTGGTAACATTTCCACTTTAAGATTTTAAAATATACAGAGCCCCTGCAACTGACTGACTAAGCTCCTTTTTTTTGGACTATTTACTGTGAGAGCAAACTATTTGACTGTAAAGCAGTAAAGCTGAGCACAATGTGACACCTTTTACTGGATTAAAACCTGCTATTTACCCCATCTGAACTTACAATGTGTCATTTCAGTTGGAGTATACTGCCGATCCAGTCCTCCTTCATCGGCTCTCCGGTGTTTATATGGCTTCATTTAAGTGGAGTTTCTCACCTCACAAATCAGGACATTTATGTAAAATGCTATTCATTACTTATGTTCTCGTAAGATGTAATCTTAAATATTTTTCAATGCCAACGGCCCTCGTTTGATGTTTTTTTGATTTATATCCCCCCTTTTTCAGTAGTTGTTTCTACAGATGTAAAGAGCATTTGAAAAGCCCGTTTTAGCTGACCTCCGCTTCTCTTCCAACACTTCAAAACTTCCATCACTCTACCACCAGTCAAGGCTGTTAGGATATCAAGAAGCGATGTTTTTAACTGAAGTTTTTCAGACGCCAAAATTACATTGGCTTAAAAAAAAAATTCAAAAGAAATGGTTATTATAACACGTCGTAATATAATTTGTCATTTTTTTTTATTAGATGCCCACATAGTGTCCATTAGCACTTTATTAATTTGCCTGAATATTTTGTCTTGTTTCATAGTCTCATGCGTGGTTACTCGTATCCATATAATTTCTTAGCATAGTTGGAAAGTTTTTCTTGCTAATGACCTTGGTGACATCCATGGACAATGTGCAGATTGTCTGCCTAAAATCTGTTTTCAGTATCAAACGCTCACCCACAGCAGGTTGTAAAGGTGTATCTAACATTTTTATGACAAAATAATGGCTGAAACATATGAAGTTGTGGTGTAAGAATGGTTTCTGAAATTTGAAAACACCTTTTAAACCTACAGGCAGTGAATCTTTGGTACTCAGAAGATACATTTTGGGTGGAACATCACTTAAAGATGGCTCACCGCCACCCATTTTAATTTGAGTATTACTTGGATGCCATTCACCATAACGTATTCTAGACAACAGCTGAGTAAAGGAGGCAAGGAATGAACTGTGAGAGGAAGTGTAAGCCATATTGATGCCAAATATACCCTATGAAAAGTGAAAAAGGTTATCGGACTGCAGTCGATTTTGTCATGTCGCTTGTACAAGCATGGTTTTAATCGTCTATCTGAACGATCTCAGTTTTTGCTCAGCACAGTCGATCAAACAATATTTTGGTATTTGGAGCTCTGTTTACCCACAGCTGTCGCAGTATTTTATACTCTTTTGCTACCTTTACAGTGATAAACCACAAAAAGAATGGAAAAAAGAAGAATGCTGTACAATTTTCAGGAAATGCAAGTTCATGCTCATCTTAATCTTTACAATTGTGTCATACACTCAATACGTATGTAGTTTGAATGATATTGGTGTTTATATGTATGAGTATGGTTGAATAAAATCAATGGGCTAACACTACTCTGTTGGGAGTTGTGAAATCTCCTTCGTTTGGGATTAAAATTACGAGGACGCTTGACTTTGAACAAGAAAACGTTTATTACTGCAAAGACGAGTCACAAATTTTAAGAAAACAACACTAAGAAGCTAGCCTGAGCTGAGATCTGAAATATTCAGAAAACCAAACTACATGTGTCTTTAATAGTTTCTATATTCATCAATACGACACACTAAATGATAATGTCTTTATAAATATAAAAGTCCCCCAATTGTCCTCGTTTTTTATGTAAAATACACAATACAAATCACCCTACACGCATTGGTTTGCTCGCCAATTTGAGAAAAAAACTGAATGGCACACAAAAAGAAAGTCACATGAAGTTTGTATGTATATATTATATCAGATACTATACATTATCCAAAGGAAAAAAGAGAAAAAAAGAAATCACAAAAGCACTTTAGCCAACATATCTGATAAAATGTTCACCGAAAGAACAAATCAAATAATTAAGACACAAATAAATATACCTTTTTTTTTCTCCCCAGTTTCTGATATATACATACTTTTGTCTAGGGTGAATCAAAATAAGAACCTTCCCCAAATGCCACTGCCAAATGCTTGTGCTTGCATTAGAGCGTGCTACAGATGGCCACGACTCACTAGACTGTCAAATGGCACTTGAAAACATCCAAATACAAATCTCAAACAGGTCACAGCATTCAGAAAATATCATTTTGACAAAAGAAAAGCACGATCATGAGAAAACAATTCATTAGAGAGCATTTTACTTACAGTAACTCTCCTTGTTCATTTAACCAGTTCTGTACAATAAAAAGCTGTCTGCAGGTTATCTACCGTGTGTAAACTACTAAGTATGTGTGCGAGTGTGTGTGTGTGTGTGTGTGTGTGTGTGTGTGTGTCTGTGGTGTCACATCCAGTAAATAAATAGTCCAAGTCTGAGGACAGGTCTTTATGCTTTCCTGGTGTCTTCTCAGTGGCAGCACCTGTGCAATTAAATGTCTGTTCTGATAGCCTCTATCTGTAGCCCACCAGAGACCCAATAGTCACCCAGGCCATCTGCTCTGGCCGGGGCGAAATTAAAGGCACTGGAGTCTGCTATGGGTCAGTGAAGCTGCCGTTTAGTCCAGGTGACGAGGCATCTCTTAGCTTTCGCTCCTATGACAAGTTACGGAATAGCTTATGTCTTCTTTTTTTTTGTTTCTTTTTTCTGGTTGGAAACAGGCTCCTTTGCAAACAGCTGTTACAAAACAATCTTACTCCTCAATTTTGTGAAGACACTGAGAAATAAAGTACAATTGTGTTGGCAGCATTAGCATCAGTCCAGTCAGTGTTAAACCAGGCAGGCTTTGAGATGCAGAAAGCTAAATCACTGTCTGGCACATGAGTAAGTCTATGTAGAATAAAAAGGGCGGGGGGGAAGGGAAACAAAATCGACATAAAAACAAAATAGTTTCTAGCAGCACATGGTAGGCGTGCAAGACCAGAAAGCACTTATGATCCTAAAGCACACAAGTAAGATTTAAAGAAAACATTTCATAAGCCATTTTCCACTTCAGGCACAAAATAATACAAGTTTACATCTACAATGTTAATTTATATGACAAGGGAGCTGAGATTTATATGTGAAAAAAAAACAACAAAATCATTCAGTGAGAGAAAGGAAAAAAATGCCACAAGCAGAAAAAAAAATCCTGCAAAACCTTCATTCCTAACCGGTACACAACTATCCAGATTTACAACATAATTTAAACTTTAAAGTCACAGACAGAACCCCATCTCCACTTTTTACAACGCCGTTCTTAAAAACTCAGTGCGTGCCGGAGTCAGTCAAGTGAACTCTTGGGAATGGGGAAGTTCATTCATGTTGCAGTTATTACAGAGATTTATGTGCAGCTCTGGAGAAAGTATAAGAGATGATCTCGGGTGTAAAATTTTGTATGCATTCCTTTCTTTTATTGGACAGTTTCATTATTGTACCCCCAACTTGCATTAAACAGTTTAATACCAAAAGTCAGGGCGCAAGTTCGTCATGCTTGCAGACTGATGTAAACGAAATGCCTCAGGCCTTCAACTTCCAGCTACTTAAAGTACGTTGACCTTTTCTTGCTGACTTTTTAAACTATTCTTCAGCATTATGATAAGAAAGCCAGATTAATGTGCGCTCAATTCCTAGATCTGGTAAGCCAGACATTTCAAGGCAGCAGACTTGGGGTAAGGCTACAGTATGAGATGTGTACCGCAGGTTTAAAAGGAGCTGTGTGTAGGATTTAGCGGCATCTAGTGGTGATGATTGCAGACTGCAACCAGCTGAAACTTCTCCCAAGTGCCACGCGTGAACTCAGGGTAATGATTCCCTCAGTGGGCATTGTTCAGGAGGTTTTGTCGGGAGCTGGTTATCCGCAGAAGTCTCTTCCTCTCCAAAACAAACAGACCAAGAGGTTAAAATCTGTATCAACACTGAATAATGTAATAATAATAATGTAATGCAGTTTCACAGTACAAATCAGTGTTTCTCTGATGCTGTTTGGCTTGTAGGAGGTGGGCTGCCAGCCAAGCACCTTCTAATGTGTGCTCACTTTTTGTCTCTAGTTACTTATGATCAAGACGTTCAGGAGGGTTTTAACGGGAGCTGAATTATCCACAGAGGTCTCTTCCTTGCTAAAACAAACGGACCTGTGATTTAAACCGGTATAAACACTGAATAAAGCAGTTTCACGTTGAAAATCAGTGTTTTTCCGACACTGTTCAACACGCAAAAATGCTAATGGCCCTATCTAGAGCCAGTGTTTGGTTGTCTGTTCAGGGCTACTGTAGAAACATAGTGATGCAACATGGCGGACTTCATGGACGAGGACCCTCTCCCTATATAAACGGCTCATTCCAAGGTAACGAAAACACAATAGTTCTCACTGTCAGGTGATTATACACTAAAGGAAACATACTTATTATATTATATTCCATTTCCACCAATATATCCCCCTAAATCCTACACACTGGTCCTTTAATTGATGAGTATGTCTTTGGGGTTGCCAGACTCCCAAAAGTGTTGTAGAAATTATTTAACAAAACATCTGTGAGAGTCCACTGACCCAGTAACCTAAATGGCACGCAGTATTTGCACTCCCAAACCTTGCTTTACTGCTAAGCATGTTTTCTACACAGACATAAAGAAAATAATTGTCAAAGATCCCTTGCACTTCTTGTATCTGAAGGAATCATTTGACCAGTGATAGAGCCAAGAAGTGAATACAGCACATACAGTGCCACCCCATATTTTTTTTTGTACCTTTATCAACCTACACACATGACTTACAAAGAAGAAAACAAACAAAACAAAAAAATCATCTGGTCCTCCTGTACAGTAGGTCTGCCATTTGCAGTGGTATAATTTGTGATTCATTATCAGGACCCATTAGAATAAGTTGTAACGGGTAAGCATTGAAACCAAAACACAATAAATATCAATAAATAAACATTTCTGCAGAGAAATCGTGCAGACCATTTCAACAAGCATGAAAAAACAATAACAAAAATCTTTTTTTTTTTAGTAACAAAATGTTCCTATTTAGAGGATTAATCTCAATAATCTCCACAACATAGAATGCTATAACAGTTCAAGTATAGATGTAGTCTAATGAATCAGAAGTTAGTCCCCATGCCTTTTCCCCATTTCACAGTCTATGAACTAATTACAGAGGAGCTACGAAAAGAAACAATCACATATAAAGCAACAAATATATGTAGTGTATCATCATTATATATACTATACATATATATCTATATATCTCTTTGAATATCACAAAATATCTACTTTTGGTCCACTGTACAAAGATGATCTTCAAACAGGGAACAAAGGGTGAAAGCATTTTATGGGCTAAAAACTGAAATGGAAATGTATCAGAGGTGAGAGAAAAAGCAATGCAGCTTTTCTCTGTCGCGTTGAGATTTGTGCAGTACAGTGGTGTGTGTGCAATAAGGTTTGGTGACTGTGCTGCACGCGTCAAAAGGGCTGGCACCACTGGTTTGAGGTAGGGTGACTGATGGATGTGTTCCAACACATACACACACAAGCACGCAGACACACAGGCTTATATACACATGTACATAAAAACACAGTGCAGACCGATGCATCCGTGTTCACACACACATACGCACACATACATACACACACACACACACACACACACACACACACACATACACTTCACCCGATAACAAAGGCGAATGCAGGAATAGGCCTCCAGAGGGCAGAGTGAGGGCAGGAGCAAGGCTAAAGACCATGATTCGGATAAGTAATAAGCTTAGTAGAAGCTCATCCAGAGAAAACAACAGGTGTGTCTGTGCCTGCATCCCTTGGTCTCAACACTGATGAGCCAGCCCAAATCCAGCCACGAGTCACCAGAAAGCCAAATCTGTGGCTGGGACAATGCAGAGGGGCTGTGGGCTCTCTACAGCACACAGTCAGGACTACAAGGACAGCTGCATTTAAGGATAAGGCACTATGATAAAGCCGAGGTACATTAAATCCCTGACATTCCTTCTGCTCTGCGACATGGCACTGTGGGACAGGAAACAGCTCTCGGGTGGCCCAAGTGGCTCACTCTCAGCGTCCTCTTGTTGGTTTGTTTTTGGTCCTTTGTGAACTTAAAAAAAAATTTCAGTAAGACAGAAACTGCAAAAGAAAAACAAAAACAAAAACGGGGGATCATGTCCAGTAAGTGTTCAAGATTACAGCTGGTCACTTACATCACACTACAGCGCCATCTAAAATGAACAAAGGCAAGCGATATGCACAGAGTGCATAGAAAAGCTAGCACTGAGGAAGTGGTTTTGTACAGCTGGTCTTCTCCATCTCATTTCTATTTACACAAATAGCAGCACAGATATTTCTTTAGGGGTTTCTTTTTCTGCGGCTTAAAATCTAGGAGTGGTTATCAGTGGGTGGCTACCATATCATTTTTAAACATAACAGACAAAACTGCCCTATGATCCTTTTTCAAATGCCATACATAGATAGAAAGTCCTCCCTTGTTTTTTTAGCTACATACATCAGCAGTTGGAATGCATGTGGACATAAATCATGCTAAAATTAGGACGGATAAATGGAAATTAAAACAAAACACAATGATAGCACCATGAGTTTTGGGATATACCAATTGAAAGTACAGCAAAACTATTTACAGTAGGTGAAGGTGTTGAGTCAATCGATGACTTTGCTCCACTGGGACTAGTGACATGGATTTGAGCTCTGAGACATCAGTAGTTTGAAAGAGTTGAATTTTTCCTTCAAGACAAAACACGTCTGCATAGACAGACAGAGGCGTTCATGTCATACCAAGGCAGGAAACATTTACCGGGTCAAATTAGTCCTCCGCCAGCTGCTGCATTGCGATAGAGCACAGACTTATGGGACCACACCACATCCAGAATCTAAGCAGTCAGACACGGACAGCACATCTTGGCCACAGTATCATCATTTCAGCACTCCCCCACTGACCGGGCTAGATGGGGAGAGGAGAGCGTGTCCACACGAGTGCAGACGGAGACAATGCATGAGAAAGACGGACACATCTAGACTTACAGAGAGAAAGATATGTGGAGAGTGAGACAGCAAAAACAGACCAGGCGAGGCTGGCCTTGCCCTCGGACCCTCAAACGGAGGCGTAGGTGTTGCCTGTGGTGCTGCAGTGGCGGATGGTGGGAGTGCCAGCAGAGGGGGTAAGGATGTGCTCAGTGTGGTCCTGCGGGGGCTGCGGCAGTGAGTGGAGGACGCCGGGCTGGACGACCCCCACCACAGGGTGGGACCCGTCCTCTAGCGCCCCGACCTGTATCACCTGGATCACCTCATGCTCCGACTTCTCTCGCTTGGCAAGAGGTTCCCCGGATTCCTCCGTGTCATCTTCTAAGTCGCTGTCCATCCCACTTGTTTCATCTGGACAGGAGAGAACATCACATATGTTAAACACTGTCTATGGATAAGTATCTTATACGACCCCACCTCAAGAGATCCGAACTATCCCTTTAAAAGAAGGTTTTATAGAATACTGGTCCTCAGGCTATAGTGCTTAATACATTTTATCACATACCTTTATCAATGTTAGTGAGGGACAAGGTGTTGAGACTGTCGAACTGAAAACAGAGACAAACATCATAATTAGTGGGGGCAATAGCCATTTATCTTAATGTGTTTCTAATCTAAAAGAGAAACTCCATTGTAATTAGGTAAAACATGTCCTCTGGGGTGATTTTATCAACAGATTTAAAATGACTAAACAGAGGTAATTTCACACCTGATGTATAATTTATCCGTCATATTGCAGTGCTCACAATGGCACCATAAATACTGTGAAGATAAGATGCCACATGTATACCTCCCCCATGACACCAATTGGTGTCTCTCCAGTAGCTTGGGCCACACGATGCTCCACTAAGTAAAACATGTACTCGTCGTACAGCAGGCGAATCAGGTGGAAGGAGCCAAAGCTGGCAGCGCTGCGCAGTGTCAGGTCCCTGATCACCATAGAACTGCAGGGACATTTAAAAACATTATGAGGGTTTTGTCTCCTGCTGCACACTCACAGATGTGTGTCGGTCTTTTTTTTTTTTTTTTTTTTTTTTTTTTTTTACAGACCTGTAGAAGGACCACTTAAGCAGGAACTGTCGAGCTGCCCTGGGGAAACTGGGCCGGTGCTCGTAAGGCTTGAGCACCTGAGTGACCACATTTTCCAGCCAGGCTGCCCATTGCTCCAGGGAGCTTTGCTGCTGTAGTGTGGCCTTGAAGTCCTGCTCCAAGTGCTGAACCACTCCCTCTTCACACTGGCACACCCATGATGCCTGCTCCTATACAGCAACACAGGGAGAGAACAAAAGGTTCACACTTGGACAGTGAAAACAGAGTGGCGTTATAGAGAAGGCAAGGAAGGAAAGTAGCTAAACATAAAGAGCTGTTCTGACCTGTACATTGGCAAAGTCAACACGATTGAGATCACTCAGCATCTGGTTGATCTGTGATGTGTTTTGCAAAACAGCACGTGCCGCCTGAGCCAGGTGGTTCAGAGATGTGTATCTGCGCAGTGTTTGCGCAAAGGCACTAACCGCGGCAATCTGAAAAGAGCGCACACAAAGAGCCATGTGTTACATACTGTAAGCATCCATACCTTTATAAACTTATCTGTAGTGTTCAAATAATAGGAATACTGAAAGTGTACCTTGGTCTGGATCATTCTCTGTGGAATGGCATTCATGGCATTATTGAGCCAACCTTCCAGGCTTTTGGCAAAATTGCGAATGGCTTGAGTCAAGGCACCTGGAAAACAAAAACAATGACAGTGGGTTAAGGATTTTAGTGTTACAAGCATAAACAAGGCAGACAAATAAACATGAGAGGCTTTGGCTCACTGGGAATGGGTCTCAGGACATCAGGAATGAGGATCTCCACAAGGGCCTGGTACATTAGATGGTCACAGGTGCTCATCCATTTGAGTACAGCCTCGTTTCTGCACAGCTCCAACAGCTGTGAACGGGGCAGCCGCGCTTCAATCTCACTTAAGCTACTGTGGAAAAATAACATACCAGACTCATAAAAATGCCTTTGACTTTTCAGATTATCATAAGATGAATTAAGTTTAGTAATATGTCTTTATTCACCTACGAAAAAAACCCCACATTGTATGTTATCATCAGCTTGACCTCACCTGTTTTCTGTTACAGTGGCACCCTCTACAGAGTCAGGAGGAGAATAACGCCAGAATGTCTGCCAGAGCTTCTCAATTAGACTGAACTGGAGGTTGACGACCACATCCAGGATAGCCTGAAACGAAAATGGAGAATAAACTAAAACAATGAAGAGGAAATAGTCCCTTTGAAAACTATGGACAGCGAGGTCTGTGGTTTGTCCAGGATATTGCAGGGCTGGGTATCATATCAAAAATTATGATGCCAGTATCAATACCAGTGCCATTCAAGTGATACCAATACCAGTACAGTACTTCATTTGATACCCATCACGTAAACAGAAGCATTCACTTGCATAAAATGCAACCAGATGCCACAGGTGTGTAGTATGTCCATAATTTTTAACGTTTTGGTGGCATCTCGGCACGCTCAACTCCCAAGTGTGTCAAATACATTGCTCTCGACTTCACCACATCAAAGACTGTATGGGTTGTAGATGCTGTGGTAGTGGACCAATCACACATTGCATTACATCCAAGAACACTTGCAGTGACTGGCTGCGAGCAAAATCATACAAATAGTATTTTTTTTTGGCTAGATCTGGGTACAAAAAAGATCAAATGCAGGTATCATTTGCCTGGAGAAGTTCTGATACTGCTTGATACTGGGTTATTTCAGTAGTTAGATTAAAGGTATGGAGTACCAAAAGACTGACATGGACACTGTCAATTGGCAATAGGTGTTTTCAGACCAAACTATTCAAGAGACTCCATGAAAGGAACTTCCCACTGGGGAGCTTCCCACGAAAGCGACATACTTTCCAGGGCTTTCTTTCTGTTTGCATTCGCATTGCCAGTAGAAATGCTAAAATGATGTACTGTTAGCCGGCCAGCAGTTGGAATAGCTACCTCACTTTCCCTTTGGGGAGTCAAAATTGCATTTCCACCGCCATGTATATGCTCACTACTGTTCGTCGTCTGCTGTTTTGCAGCTACCAGGTTTTCAAAAATGGCATTTGCTGGTGCTGCATTGGCTGTGTTTGACAAATCAACGTACACTGCCAGTATCTGGACTAATCACAGTGCACTTGCGGCACTCTTGGTGCTTGGAGAGTACCTACTCTGAAATAGAAGCTAAAAAGTCCCTCAAAATGGTGTTCTAAGAACTATGATTGCTCTTATGTCTTGCAGTGCAGACAGCACAAAGAAGGAGTTCTTAGAATTAAGTATCAGTCTAAAAATACCTAAGGACATTTTTCAGTTCTCTGAGGAGCAGATATGAATGTCACAAAACCTCAGCACACCAACTCAAAACTATCTACATACCTTGGTACCACTATGTTTGTTTATGTAATTTGGATGAACTGACCCTTTAATCACAAGAGGTGGACATCTCTCTGTCAGATCACAGGGCCTTGGCCATCACCTGCGTATGACCTGAGCTCTAGTCTTCCAGACATTAGGAGAGCTGTGATTGAAAACTTCATAAGATAAAGACAAAAATCTGCTCTAAAATGCCAGCCGCTGGCATTTACAAATCTCTGTCACTACAAACACACATGACCTTTCCCCAAAGTTTCCACAGTCTGAATCCAACCAAAGTTTAAATACATGTTCTTTTTAGAAAGTTGTGGAACCTGAGTTCAGAGTGTTCAGTCCTACCAATATTTTCTCACTAAGGACAGCTTATATAACATTAAACTATTAAACTGCTGTAATAATAGATACTGGCAGATACATTTTTAAGAGGGAAAAACATGGATGAGAATCTTAATAGAAAAAAATGGAATTGATTTAAAGGGTGGTGAGGTCCAGGCAGATCAATAGACGAATGTATAGTCACAGTGCCTGTACAGTCCTATTGATAATGTCGTATCAATATTGAAGAGGATTGCTTAGCTTTCTTTTGAGCACTGAAGAAGAACCCAACCCCCTGCCCCCCTGTGAAATGCACTCATGTGCCACTGTGAGCTGTGGTTACATGTGAAGTAAATGTCCTTTATCTAACCTCACAGTGCTCTCTGTAAAGGGACTGGAGAGCTTTCACATCCTCTGGGCTGATGTTCTCTGTATTGCTCTGTCCCAGGTCCAGCTCGACAAAGTCAGGGAGTGCACGTGATGCATCTGTTGGAGCGATAAAAAAATGAAATGTGGAAAAATCTGAAAAAACACAATATTAAATATACTTAAGTGCATCTTATGTGGCAGTTAGATAAAGAGAAAAGCAGCTTACCTAGGAACTGTTGGTGGTGTTGGCTCTGTGCAATGACTGTCTGCTCTGCTGCACCAGGGTGGTGCTGGCCTCCACCTGAGTAATTCTCCCCAGGGCAGCCATCAAACTTCTGCACTGGCTTGAACCTGAAACTCAAATATTACGTCAGTATCTATAAAAAAAACAACAAGCACTGCATGTCTGTATGCATGCATGCCTAGCTGCCCGTGTACCTCTGTTTCTGCTGAACAGGTTGCTGTCTCAGGGCCATATACTGCATGTCTTCTTGAAGTCTGTTGAGGGGGGAGTCTGGCTTCACACGTATACCATAGTAATGATATTTGGAGTTCCCTCTAGAAGACAAAACCATACATGAACACACATTAGCAGACTCCTAATGTGAGGTGCACAGAAAAGTTCATATGGGTGGCAGAGAGGGACAGAAAAGAATAGACGGTGCTTTCAGAACATTACGATTCAGAACAGTTGTTCCCAACCAATCTTACTTAAGGGACCCCTTTTCTATTATTTAAGACCCCTGACTATGTGACATATTTCATCTATATTTCATATTATATTTAATGCATAACGTAACAGTACAGGAAAACTGATAAATTGTACAATTATGGCTGCATAGATTTTGTGTAAAACGAGCGATTTCGATGGATTTTGAGCAGATTATTTTCACATACTGCATCAGAGATTAGTTTCCCTGATATTTTTAGGAACTTTTATACAATCATGTGTCTGCATTATATATTTATCTAATTTTTAACAATCCTACAAACTTACTAGGCTTCTTTTTTGACATATTCAGTGTCTTCTACTCCCTGATGCTCGGATTATTCTGTTAGCCCTTTGGCTTTTCAAATGCGTACTTTTCTAATGCAGGACGAGTCTGTTTAGTAGCAAGTGAAGGCTGTGTGAATAAAGCTTGATTAAGGTCTTCACCATGCCCTTAAATTTATAAGTTAAATAATAAACTAAACTTTAAAATTAACAATTCCATTTGGGTTTCTTCACAGAAATGAATAAAATCCTGAGATACAGGCCTACTGTACTCCCCATGAAGCTTTGGCGACTCCTAGTAGGGGTTGGGAACCAGTGGATTAGATGAATGACAACAGCAAGGGGAGCGAAGCAAGCGAACATCCGCTGGGTGAAAATTGTGAATCTCCAAACTGATAACTTTTCTTAACTTACGAAAAAAGATCTGGGAAAAAAGCTAACCTTGTCCCAAGGCGCCTTGTACGGAGTCCCATGAAGATGGAGCGGATGAGTTTGCCAAAAGAGGCTGCATTTACAGGGTCCAGTTTCTGCTCCTGGCAGTGGCGCAGATAATGATTGTAGAGGGTGGATCGTGGTAGACTTACGCCCTCTGCTGTCTCGTAATTGTCCAACAGCCACTGGAGCTGCAAGGGAACACATTTTTTTTTACTCAAGAGATTCACACATCAGTCCACCCAAACTATCTGGAAACACCTCAGACTGACAGTCTGTAATCTTCATGTTGCAGCATCATCACACCTCTGTGAAAGCACCTCTACAGCAGCCAGTTAATTTAAAACAATAGTAACAATTGAGATAAGCAACAAAAACAGCGAGCACCACATCAAACTCAAATGTATACAAAGTCGAGATAGGCAGAAGTCTTGCAAAAGTAAAGCAAGGGCAAGCATTCGTAAAAAAGCAACTTACATGGCTGTTGAGCAGCGAGCTTCTCTGACTGGATAAACCCTCAGATTTTTGGAGCGTCTCAATCGCCATTTCAATCTGATAAACCATGAAGCACAGGACAACAAAATGTAAGAGGGAGAAATAAAAACAAAAGCAACAGAAATAAAGAGTTGATGTAGACAAGTTGGTGTCCACTAGAAAAAAATAAAGAGAATCTAGAAAGGATGCCAAAGCAAGCACCACTAAACCCAAGCAGAGCAGGACTCATGTCATTTATGAAAATTTTTGCATAGTTAAGAAATGAGGACATGGGCTCAACTGGATCAGCTACTGCGTACATCAATCGTGGGTAGCTGGCAGACACACAAACCTTCCAGATTCCACTAGCACAGACCCACTTATTACAACTATTATGTGCAGAGAAAATGCCAGACTCCATTACAAAAGCAAAAGACGAGGGCAGTGTGCCAAGATGATTTAGTAATACCTGCACGTCAACCTCAAGAGTTACGCCAAAAAGCTGGTTCATGTTTCATGGGAAGATTTCTAATTGAGTATTGGCAGTTTCACAAACAGCCTCACAAAAATATACAGCAACACAGGCTAAAAGACAACATACTATATAAAAGATGATGCCCTGACTGTAACTTGGGAATACAAACATTTAAGGTCATACATGTGAAATCATGAGCTGAACACTATGGTAATTCTGCATCTGCAAATACTGCCCATATATAGGCTCATTTATCTTGTCAATGACATCACTTAACATAGACAAGGATGAGCTGGCATTTTGCTTAAGCGGTTAAAATACCCTTGTACCCTTGCACACATTTTGATTAGAAAAAAAATATCTACTAAAACATTTCTCCTCTGCACAGCTATTACTGGATGTTCTAAACTCTCTGCCATGACTGATATCCACATAATGTAATGTCAGTCGCCAAGCATCATTGCTACAGTACTGCCAGGAAGCATCATTACGGTGGACTGTGTGAAAATACCTAATGGTTCGTTCAGATTATGATAAAAAGCGAGGCTCTTGTGCTGTGTGCACCACTTTGTCTGATGCAGGAGTCTCGTGAGGAGTGGGTGAGTCCTCCCCTCCTTAATACACCTGTGTCAGCTTTTAGCCTCGTCTTTCTTCTACATCTGTGATACTCTACTTACAACCTATGGGCCAAATTTGGGCCGTGATAGGGTGCTGGTTGGTCCAATGACCATTTTCTAATTCACAATTAAATAAATGAACTCATCTGTGGATTTTTTTTGTATTCTGATGGTAAATAAAGTGCCAGAGTGCGTGAAAAATATCAAAACAGAGCTTGTTTAACAAAGAAAAGTGCTAGGAGAGCCCCCAACAGAGATCTGGGTTAAGCCCCCAATGCCCCCTGACCTGCTACGACTGGCAAGAAAGAGTGAGGACAACAAATGTAAAAAGCCTAAAAAAAACAGGCATCATTTATCATACACACTGATAAATGTTATTAATGTTTGTTTATTAACTGGTCTCCTGTCATTTTGCAAAAGTGGCCCCCGGGCAAAGCAAGCTGAGTATCCCCGCTCTACACCAAAGAGTGGTAATATCAGATAAATGAAACGAGGGATGGAAACAAAGTCCTGCATTACATGAACATTAAATATTAAGGGTTACAGTGTGAACACTGCTGGCAGTAGTTAGATCACTGCAGAGACACAGCCTACGCAGCGCATCGCATACATCAGCAAAGGATCATTGCCAGAGATAAAACACACCGTACACAATCATTGAGGAGGTGCGCACAAAAGTAGCTTCTCTATAATGTGACATAATATATATATGTACTATGTGTATACGCTGGTATTTTGAAAACATGACACAAATATTGAGTTCAAATATGGAACCCTGCTGAAGAGACTGGTGTCCTACATTTGAGATCAAACTAGTGCATGGATCAATAAAGTATGACAGAAACAGAGCATCTATGTTGATAGGAAGAGTCTATGCAAACTAATAGCTGTGTGGGTCTGAACAGGGGAGAGGTAGACTCTACATACACTAGTCTGATGCTCCATCAACAAACGCACAAAAGCAGGCAGGCAAAGGTAGACCCCAACTAGTGGGTGCTATGCACTTACAGTAGCTGGGGAAGTTCGTGCCGTCTGGGTGGCGGGGTGGGGTGCAGCGTTGTCCATGATGTAAGCCCCAGGACTGGTGCTGATTACCTGACCCCCTGCCAGATTCATGTTCATTCCTCCACTGCCCCCTCCTCCATTGTTGGTCATGCCATGAGATGTCACCACAGTGGAAACTTGCGATGAGCTGCCCTGTGTGTCAAAGTAGTTCCCTCCACTGTTCTGGCTATACAGTTGCGGCTCTGAGTACGAGTAAGTTCTTCTGTTCGAAAGAGAGGTTAGCAGTCAGTCAACGTGTCCAAAATAAAACAAATCTTTTTTTATATTTTATTTCTTTTAGTCCAAGTATGGTTTCTTAGTTATGCAAGACACCTATTAAACCTATATGGTAACAGTAACAACACACAGTACATGTGTTTGTGTAGGTTCGGTCAAATAATGTAAACAATGACTGTCATAATGGAGACAATCATAAATAGATTTTTAATCCAATTTATATATTTAAACATGTTTTATGATTTGGGTGACCCTTTAAATATAACTTTCACATATGATGTTGACACAAGCCTGGTGCTCCGCTCATGTGTCCAGCTGTTTGGTGTATGTATGCTTTTGTATTTCTAAGCACTTTGTCTGGCGATGCCTCTTACATGAGTGTTTCCACCAGTGGCTGAGGTCACAGAATTTGTGTGTTTGTATCTGTACATGCACCGACGTGAGTATCACTGTAGGACAGCGTGGGCTTGTTAGTCGAGTGTCTATGTAACCCCATTCCTCAGACCCAGGGGACCCTGGCGTGGCATCAGCACATAAAAGACAGGCCTACTTCTGGTCATGTTCAGGTGACTGAGCACAATCAAACACACGACTGCAGACCCCTCATACGAGAAAACAAACACTCACACACAGAAAAAAGAGCGCAGTCCCCACCGACATCATGTGCTTTTGACATGAATGATAGTTTGGAGAGACTTAAGAGGAGAAAGAACAGGCTGCAGAGACGTCGCACTAATATTTGTGAAGTGGTATAAGAGCAGAGCTGGGTAATAGACTGACTCACATGTTGCCATTGGTGTAGACGCCACTGTTTTCCTCCACATACTGCACCTGTGCTGGGTAAACATGCTGAACCTGTTGAACAGTCTGAGCCTGGTAAGACAAAAAGCAAGAGTTGCATATCAATTATCTAATTTAGTTAAGGCACATAGTGCTCTGGGAAATACAGACATGCATGTACAGTATGCACACACGCAGGAATGTTCAGATACAAACACACACACACACACAGACAGGCTGAATGTACCTGTTGCTGGACAGGCACCTGCTGGGTGGAGCCGGTAGGCTGGACAGGCACGGTGGTCTGAAGAGGGACAGTGGAGGTGGAGTCAGCGCCTGCTTCAGGGGTCTGCATGGCGCCTAAATAAGACAGAGAAAACACAGTCTTGCTGTAGACAGATAATGATCACAATTGCTGAAAACACTCTCAGCCTACTGGTCTAACTGGAAAAGCAACTTAACAACTCGGTAACATTAACATAATAATCGTAATGCATCACTGAGCCAATGCTTATTTGGCATCAACATATAGATAACTCACTAAAGCAGAGTACATTTACAAATACAGCATTGCATTCTTCTGGATGTCATTTACAACAGACAAAGGACCACACACACATTTATTTTTCACCCCTCTTATTTTATAACATCTGCTGAAACAGTTATACAATTAGAGGCATCGTCCTCTAATAACTCAACCAACTATAAACCTAATCCTTAACACAAGACACAAAATATCCCTAAATGAAACTGTAATCAAGGCATAAGAGAAAACATGATGTTTCCCCACAAATCACTAACGTTTCACCCAAATGAATGCTACTAAAGCTGCTCAAGAGCAATCCTGCCCAAGCACCTGTTTCTGCCTTGTGGTACTTAATGTACTGAGAGCCTCATGCATCAGTGACACATGGTCTTGTCTCCATGTTCACAGCCATAAAGCAAGTTAATATTTAACAAACTCCAAATAGATGCTGCTTCTTGTTGCTCTGTCAGTTCCCACTTTCATGGGTTTACTCGAGATTGGAAGTCCTTGATCAGCACTGAGAAAGTGTATCACAACAACCGAAAAGTTATGTAATTTTAAAGTATCTCTCCCACATATTGTCATTACTAGAGCTCAGTGTGTCAGAGATTTACTAGTAGTAATAGAAGTATTGGAAAGCGAGGCTAAAGTGAACTATTTTGAAGATAAGGGTAAGAGTGTAAACAGACACTGATGGTGAACCTGTGTTTCTGAGTTAATAATAGTACGGCTACCATCACCCATTTCTTCCAGAGGAAGGCCACCTCCTCCCCATCACAGTTTCCACGAACAAGCCTCTCTTGGTTAATTAAGCTGGGTCTCCTAACAGCTCCAAATCTCTCCAGAGACGGCCTGCCCCCTTCCCTTTATCTTCAATATCATACTGGTCTGTTTCTTTAGGAGGAAGGCTGTGACTTTATTGGTGTTGGGGTGATCAACCTTGTAGTTGCGCCAAAGCAGAGTCAGTCTGTCTCTGTGCACTGAGACGGTGAGGTACAGTGAAGCAGCAGGGAAAATCTGCATCTTCTTCAAACATACAGGGGCACTGAGATTCATTAAAGCAAAGCCGTCTGCTTCCAGCATGACTATTTTCAACACCTTGGGGAGGGGGATATGAGCATATACTATCACTGTCAGACATGTCAGCAGGCTGTTTGCTAGACAGGCTGCAGTCTGGCTAATGGAAAAATAAACCACTATCCAGTTCAAATATTTATATTCTGCGATATCGACAAGACGCTGTAAATTATAACAATCAATTCGTGAAAAAAGCCTTTGGATGTAGGCTGCCAAAGTGATATAAAAATGGTAAACTGCAAAGTAAAAACCGTAGCCTTCGGGTCACTATATCCCAATGCTAAAAAAAAAGGATTGTGAGGAGAGGAGAATGCAGACTTCCACAGTGCAGTTTGAAAGCTAAAGTACATAGCCCCAACTGAGCCCACCTAATAGAGAAAAAGAGCCCCTGCATCACAACACACTCTTGTTGCCTCACCCCAACCCCCTCCACAAACACACGCACACATATACACACACTAACACACCTCCTGCCTCACCATTCAGGCACTCCCTTGTGGCCCACTTAAATGCTGTGCTCCACTGAGCAAGTGCAAGCCCTACAAAGACACAGAGGAACAAAAGCCACCAAGGAGGGCAACATTTTGCCCTGCCTTTTCTCCCCTCGATTCCTCTTGCTAGCATTACGAGCAACAAATAATAAATAAAGAGTGCAGGGTTCACAGTTGCAGCTACCAGAAAACACACATTACAATAATTTGCATCTCTGATTTTAAAAGGTGGAGTCTGATGGAGCAAGTAAAGAAATAAGAGCTGCTGAACAAGGTTGAAAAGTACACCGTACGCAAAATCTCTCCCTCTCTGTCTCACACACACATACAGTACATGCAACCCCAGGCAAGATAGGAGCATGATCAGGTGCTAGTGCAACAGGAAAACAGGTGGAGGGTAGATGTAATTCAGAGCTGACGTGGAGGGGGGTATGCAAAATGTTGTGTTTGTTTAGGAGCTTTCAGATTGTAAAGATATCTGGGAGGGACTTATATTTTTTAGGACTGCTGATGCTGATTGTGATGTCAAAAACATTGCATCAATATTTAAGATAATGTAAACTGTTCTGAAAAAAAGTGAAAGTCAGTGTTTACTGTTTTATCTGATTTTATTTCATGACAGCGCCACAGCAAACAGACATGTCAAATGTGCCAAAATTTCTGGAACAATCATGACAAGTTACAGAGGAACTCTTGCTGCGCCTAACTGTTATCACCAGATGTGGGGTTAGGAAAGAAAAAACAAGGGCCTTTAAGTCTCCGCTTTCATCAACAATATACATTATTGTGGGCAGGCTGGGGAAAATAACAAACCAAACATGCTGCATTCTGCTAAGCCATGAAAATGGATGACTGAATAATTGAATTAATCAGCCCCTCTTTAAGTGATTGGAAATGTAACAGGATCCAGGCAGCAGGTGGCATGGTACTATTTCTGTGCTAGCGGACTACAGGTAAGTGGTAACATGATCTGATAACTAGCAGTTCCCAACATCCTGTTTTCTGTGTTATGTATTGGGAGAGGTGTCTGTCCATGTCCTATTTTGGGTTGTGTATGCCAATAGATCAATATATTCACACTATTTAGACTTTACCTGTGTGTATGTGTAAAAACTGTTACATTGGTGTTGTAGCCTGATTGGTTTGAATTGCTCTGGCTCTGTCAGGCCTGCATCTACATGAAAAGTTACAGATTCACCGTTCACAACTAACATACAGTTGAAAAGAGAACAAAATGTTATGATGACTTTTTTTATGATGGAAAATCAAGTTTTATTTACAGTGTGTGGACACATACAAATAGGCCTTGCTGTGCAGGAGTCCCACCACTACTAGAGATGCACCTGTCCTCCATTCACCTCTCCACACACACATATACACACACACACACACCTGTTCTCTCTGCGCTAACGAGAATCAGAGGTCGCAGCTGCACAGAGGACCCAATGGACCCAAGAATAATTGTGATGCAACAATAAGAAACCAAGTCTCACATGTGAACCACCCACAGGATTAAGGAATCCTGAAATGCATGTCTACTATTATATTGTGAAGAAAGAGAACATGTGTATGTTATGTAATTGAAATAGATGTGACTTCATGATTTTAACCCAACTTCAGTGAGCACAAAATCAATCTGGAAAAATACTGAGATCAACTACAGACTGAGCATCTTCCCCCCTGGACAGTGTCATGCTGGATTGAGCACACAAGTCTTGCGCACCCTCAGAAAAGCATGCACACGCAAAACAAAAAAACAAAATGTACTATTTTAGCTGTTTGTCAATGATTGTATCTGCATTGCAGAAGGGGTGGATAGATTTTGACTTTACCAGCCCAGTTGCTGAATGTGCAATGCAGGATTACAAAATGATTTGTGGGAAAACGGGTCGTAACATTGGGGTATTTTAATGTTAAATCAGGCAGGTGTTTTTCCACTGCAAAACTTGCCCCTGTGTTATCAGGGTAGCTTATCACAGCCATCTGATGCCACAAAGAGGGCAGATGGAGAGCTAGCGAAGCTATCTTGCTCCCTAAGACAAAAGGGAAAGTAATGGCTTAGCTATTGTTAATAGCAGTTAGTGTATGGAGAGCTAGCTCACAGTGCGTCCAATTGCCGGTCGACGTTATTGATTTTGTATGACCAACAAGCTTTGAACCACCCGAAACATAAACTTACAATAGCACGGCAACATTAGCCCAAAAAATGGGCTACCAACAGGCATTGTAAGAGGGCGACGCTGGCGTTAGCAACCTAGCAACAACAGACACCTGCTCCTGCTCCAGCTGACCAGCTAGCATCAGTGACTAGCCCGGACCTATGCTACCACTCAGCATGGTGACTTTAAGCAAATAAGTTACACGGAAACCCGTTTTCCGCCACACTCACTGACGTTTAGGGCAGTTTTAGCCCCAAAAGCACCCTTTGAGAGCACATAGCTAGCTCCTGCTAGCGAGCAGGACCTCTCACAGCTGTGGGTATCTACAGGCAACGTTAGCAAGCAGGCTACCACGTCACAAAGAAACACCCTCGCTAGCAAACTACCCCAGCTATTCACCGAGCCTTCATTCAGCAGCAGACAAAACACACACCACAGCATTAATATCTCCTTCACACAGCCGTCCAGTGAAGCGAGGACGCACTTGAATTCGGGCTACAAATAGTATAAAAATATTCAAACCTGAGCTGTGGACTGGTTGATGAAGATGAGGATGGTGGAGGAGGTGGTAATGATGGAGCGAGAGGTTGTTGTTGGTGGGTTACAGTCGCCAGGACTACGGTGACTATGGCGCTGCCTCACTGGGCAACAGTTGCTATAAAACTCACCGGGAGCGCGCAACCTTACCAGGCAGGTGGGAGGAGATTAAAGCGCACTTAATGCAGCCTTAACAGAAATAAAATCACACCGAAATACACGTGTTGGACCATACAGAGGGTATTTTATAAGGCTGGGAATTCTTACCCGAGAAATTGGAGACATTTCATAAATCAATATGTTACAGGATGTTGAAATAGAGTCAGAAATTTGTTTCGGTTCAGTTCTTTTTGGATGCAAAGGCAACAGCTGCAGGCATATTCTCTAAACAATACTATACTAAACAATCTGCAATAATCAAGATGTTTTAGACTGTAGTTTTCCCTCATAATGTGGTAATAATTTTGGTATCACCTCAGTTTCATGTTGGCATAATTATGATTAGACCTAAATAGATAAGTGTGCATGTTTTTAAGGCCATTTAATGCTCTGCTGCAATGACATATGCTTGTATTGTGAGATTCTGAAGATGAAAAGTTAACTTATATTTTGGCCAGAGAGAGGGCAAAGTTTCACACATGAGCTCACAGGGATTATCATCCAGTCCTGCCACAAAGAGCAAACTGTATCCCTATAGCTGCTACCCATTCTGGTCACCATCTCAGCCTCAGCAACATCTGGGTGTTGCCTTTATATTTGTCTTTCTCTACAGTTTGCCCCAGAGATATGCTTCTCTCCATGCTCACTTTTTTATTTCACGAAAATCAGGCACAGTCAAATAAAAACATCAATTGTTCACCATCAAACCACTCATAGCCACCCCCAGAGTGTTTTAAATAAAGAAGTAGGCCATAATCATTTGCATTCATTCAGTTATGTATAATCCTCATCAAAAGATATGGAAATTCCAACGTTAAAGATCTCAGTTTAGTCTAAACATATTCCAGCCGTTTCCTAGTTCTCAGATTTGAGAGCTGAGCAAACTGTATAAAATTTTGCCCAAATTAAAATCAGCTTCATTTTTCTGTTTTCCCACCTTGTGTGGAAGGATAGAGTAAAGGCAAAGGCAGGAAGAAAAATGGGGTGAAAAACATGTCACAGTATATAATTTAAAATGAATGCAGTATATAATTTAAAATGAATGCAGACTGACTTGCTTTTCAGTTTTTGTGTGAATTTGAAATCACATGCGTGCACAGGCAGTGTCCAGTATTCACCATATCAGATGGCTGCATAGGTCAAGGGTGAACCATTCCTCTCCACTGTATTTTTATTGACAATTATGTTGCATTTTTTGCATTTTCCTCACGGTCCTACTTTGTTTTTCATGAGTTAACTCCACCTATGAATACATCTACCCGAACGGTTAAATGTTATCATTATAGATGTTTGTCAAATGTCCCTTGTGAACTGGATGTTCACTTTTGCTTTACAATTATTGACAATAACATTTGAGCCTTAAATTATTGCCACACTACTTGTCATTTTCACACATTGTACAAAAGTGGTGCATATTGGTAAAAACAACTGACATGGACATCTATGAAATTACTTACTATAAAAAGCATGGCACTCATTTGCTCCCAGATAAAACCTTTTACCACATGGCACGAGTGGGACTCGAAACACGCACAACTTTTAAATTGCGAACAGTGACCAAACAAAGCCGGCATTGTTAAGAGGCTTCCTACTGCATGCAGAGCTTAACCAACCACCTGTGTCCACAGCGCAGCACTTTTTTTTTGGTTAGCACTAGTACTAAACAGATGCTTTTTGGAAAAGCTGTTGTTGTTGCTAGGCAACTAGTGAAACCCCCATCTGAAGCATGACACTCTTTTGCTAAAAGAATAATTTTTCAAGTAAAACAGTTTGTCCTTTCAATTTCAAATAAGAAAAATACACTGCTGTGAAGATTGGTAACTGCTGGACTTGTGCAGACTTTTCACACTGGTCAGGTTTACAGCAGTGTTTGCTCATTATTTCTGAAGTGTATTGCCTTCAGAATTCAAGTGTCTTATTTATATTACTACCTCAATGTAGTTTCTCTGTTGTGTTGTCTTATTTTGTTTCATTCAAATAGAAACATATGTATTAACTCCATGGAAAGATATGTGGTTTATGGTGTGTGCAAAACTGCTTTTTGAAGTATCAACAAAAACAGTTTTAGAAATCCACACAAACTATTTGTTGCACTATTTTGTAGAGCTTTAGCTAGATTAGTAAATCACTGACCTGGCTTTTGAGTGACAAAACAACAGGCAGTTTAAAAAGCCTAAATCAATGTCTCTTGCCTCATTTTATTTCTAGTATAATTTGTGAGCTTTAAATGATAAGAGCGTCATGGTTCCTTTATGTGTCATGTGTAAAAGCACTACATGTCTTCTTCATCACTTGCAGGGTGTTGTATGTGTGGGAAACTGTAACCTTGTGTGATCTGTGTGGTGAGCTCTAACAAATGAAATTAGCCACCATGAACTGATCCACAAGAGAGTTAGGTGCATTGTCATATCACTCAGAGACACAAGGTGTGACAAATGACAAACAAGGATACAAATCATTTCAAATATATTCAAAAATTGAGGCACCATAACAGTGTTTTTGCACATTTTAGCCCATTTGCTACAAAGCATGTAGACTTTACATTGCTGCTGATGGTGATGAAGTTTGAGTAGTTTTTTTCAACTTAATCAATCACCAGAATAAATGTAGTCATTGTGTGTTCCTGCAAACCATGGATAGGTCACATTAATGTATGTTATTAGATATCTTGAAACTTTACCTTTCTTTATGTTGTAACAAGGCTGGAAATGCTGTCAATGTCTTGCTAAAAAACATCCAGTTTTGCTGGTACAATCGCCGCTAGAAAGACAGCGATATCTTGCTAAAAAACAAGCTTTTTTTGTTTGTTTGTTGGTCTTAAACAGTGGCCTGCAGCCTAGCACATTTGGTACCCTGGGTGAGCCTCCCCCTTGTGACAATACAACGTGTTTCGTGTTCACATGACGTCAGATAACTCTCCCATCTCCCCGAGAGAGCAGGTAAAGTGTAAGGAGCTGAGGAGGGGGGCAGGGGGTGGCAGGAACCCACAAAAAAGGCCTGTCTATTATTTGGTAGGCTTTTCTATGTAGTTATGTTGTAGCCTTACGTAATATTTCAAAACAACAGTAGTAATAGTTTAAGTAAGAAACAGTAAAAGATAAACATTTTGATTTTTTGTCCGTCCTCCATTTCTGGTGTCCCCTATGGATAACGGTGCCCTTAGCATTTGCCTACACTGCCTATGCCATGGGCCGGCACTGCCTGCAGCTTGGCAAGCATCTCACCTAGGTGTCACTCCATCCACCAACCCGTCCACCTCCTGATTATGCATATAGGCTACATGTCATCAGCGCTACATCCCTTTAAAAACATTGATATGATATGTACGAAATGTACAAATGTAACACATCTGGAATTTGCAAAAATGCACAATGCCAACATCTTCTTCTAGTGACTGCAAATTGTTTTGGGTAATCCTGGTGATCATCATGTCTGCTTTTTTTTTTAACTAAAAGTTGTGATATGGTTACATGTTTGAGCAGCTCAAAGTGTGAGCTGGAGTGAAACGTCTGCACTGCAGTAAAGTAACTGGTAAAAATAAAGGCAGCTATAATGAATAGAGTAGTTCACCTATCTAAAGTCTCAACTGAAATCACTACTATAGAAGAACAGAATTAAAAAGGTGTTGCACATACCATGCTATTAGAAAGCATCAACTGCAATGTGAACTTGTGAAGTGTGTGTAATTTGCAGTGAATAAACCAAAACATGTAAAATCACTGGTACGGTCATTGTTTCATGATCTAGGCACAGGAGCAATCAAAGTGCATTACAGTACTATACTCTAAACAACAGGTTAAGTCTCTGAACATTACAGTGAAATGGTGAGGCTGTCTTGTTACTATAGTTACAAAGCCATGGTTCTAAGAAAAACCTTAATAAATGATCCCTTGCATACATTGCTTTGATTGCAATGCTGAACATTGTGCAAAATGACACCATAAACTACCTGAAGTACTCACTACATTAACGTTGTTATACACAAGCTGTATACAAACTGAGGAAGTAAACGTAAAAAAAAAAATCCTGTAGGCTCAGACATTAGTATACAGTGATTATGGAAGCAGAAGCCGGAGTGTTGAGTCAGATAGTACATTTATAGAGATTTCGTCAAAGAGAGAGAGAAACTTGCATTGCGAATGTGAGTCATTTCCTTCAAGACCCAGGGAGCAGCATCTTGGACTGTTTTATCAATCGACCAATCAATCAATCAAATATGCTTTTATTTCACTAAATGAAGCTGCCACCAGTTTGCTATCTAAAGTGTTCTTCCTATAGACTGTTTGACTAAATGAAAGGGGCCACAAAATAGTGCAAGGGAACAAAACCAACATCGGAGTAACATCATCCCTCTGTGTAGATGCAGGACACCTGGCTTGTGCGGTGGTCCACCACACTGAAGAAATCCCCTCCATGCAGCTCTTGATTAGGAGCCCCATCCTGCGCCTGGCTGCGGACATCAAATCCTGCTGATGCACCCGACCCACACACACACACACACACACACACACACACACACAAAGAAATACACAGATGCATGTATGCACAGTGAGAGTTGTGGCAATAAAGTGCTCATCTTTGAGTAATTTAGTTTAAACTGTATTTTCATTACCTGTAATGCAGGAAAGAGCTGTTTGTGAGGTGGCCACCCCACTGGGATTATTGACTGCCTGAGCGAGGCTGTCACCAAAGGCATCAACTTGCATCAGGTGACTCGAGCCGGTCTGTGCTGTGATCCCTCCATATTGTGGGGGAGAATATAGCATCTTAATCTGCCCCGAGAGCTCTGCAGTGTAAATGAGAAAACCCTCACTATTTTATCCACATTGTAAAGAACTCAATTAAAGTCTATAGCTTTTCTTCTTAAATTAAACATTCCTATAGAAAAGCAACGTGAAGCTGCATTCCAGCCCTTTCAAACCTTGTCCTTATCTCAGCACTTAAAAGTAAAGCGTGTGTTTCTGAGCACCTTGTCAACATCACAGTGGCTGTCAAGTCCGCGGGGAAAAGAAGTGATATCTATTTAAAGGTACATAGAATGGAGCTGTCTGATTCTGTCTAACAAGAAAAATCACCAGCCACCTGCTACACATCATAAAGATATGGCGCTGATTAATGTGAATGTGAGAAAATCTGTTCAAACAGATTGTCAGACCACCAAGACATTTGCTAATAGGCTCTTCAGACGTGAAACTTACACAATAAACGCTTTTTCTGAAGAACCTTCCCCTTCTGCACGACTGTATTTACATCAGTTTGACACACCTTAAGAATCCACTGATGATAAACCTCTGAGTACCTGGATTGTGATCTGCTATGTCGGGAGGCTGGCTGGGCTGCTTCAGATCTCGGTTGTTCTGCAGGGATGTCCCATTGGGAGGATGCGGGAGGCGGGTGGGAGAGCAGGGCCCGCATTGGTCCCCGGGGGGGAGCTGGTGGGGGGAGGGATCAACAAACCTGAAATATTTCAGACTGAATTAAATACACTGCTTGTAGAATTCAGAAAAACAACAATGTATGTTTTCATTATTTGAAAAAACAACCACAATTTTTATTTGTTTGCATTCTGTGAACCATGCAGAGGCATCCTTGTACAGTTATGACTTTCAAAACCAATTAAGACAGTAGAGGATTTGGTTTTGAGAGGTGTTTTATGATTTAAATATATGGTATGTATAAGGCTGGATTCCATAACCTGTAAGATGTATATTTGAATAAAAAGATTTCTAAATATTTCTTTGATATTAAATTTTATTTACTGCTGATTGGAATCAAGCATTACTGTATATTCTGTAGGTTTTAAAGAGGCAGTATTTTGCACCATGCTGAGATGTAATAGGTTCTACAGGTGCTTCCTTTGTTGTGCCCGTCATCTATACTGTTTGTCATTCAGTGTATGGTGTTTCTCTTAAAAAATGTAAGACACATTATTATTCATTCATTAATTCTATACCCATAACCACTTATCTTATTCAGGGTCAGCAAGGGCTGCAGCCTATCCCAGCTGACACTTGGAAAAAGGTGGTTTACACCCTGACACAGGTTGCCAGACTATCACAGGGCTGACACATGGAGACAAACAACAAATTAGGCTCACATTCACACCTACAGGCAGTCCCCAATTAACCTCACTGCATGTCTTTGGGCTGTGGGAGGAAGCTGGAGATCCTGGAGAAAACTCATGTAGACACGGGGAGAGCATGCAAACTCAAACACCCAGAACCCTCTTGCTTAAGGGGCAGCGCTGTGCTCCCTCTGCACAGTGATACAGTTAGCGGGTTTAGTTTGATAGAAAGAAAATAGTTCCTACATGAAACTGCTCACAACAAGGTCTGTGGATTCGAGTGCAGGCAGAAGTCTCTATGGCCACTATCTCCACTCGGCAACTCACACCAAAACATCAAAACTGATAGATTTACAAGTAAAAGGAAAATATGTATTTTGGATTTTGGGGTGAACTGTCCCTTTAAATTATCATTTTTAGCAAAACGTTGCACTTTAACACCAAAACCATTTGTCAAATTCCATATTTGCCCCATTCTCACACAAAGCCTCAACAACCAATAAAGCACTGAAGCATGAATGCATCATGCGGTAATCACAAGGTAACAGTTTCACAGTCTGTGCTAACTTTTTCACAGACTTTCTTCAACCATTCGCATCAGATAAACATGTCATCACTTGTGACTGTCCGTGGGCATTCCTTTACTCGCTTGAATGATGCAGATGAGATGCACAACCTGACACCTATTTGAGATAAACACTCTCAGGAATCCAGAAAGCTCCCTCTTTCAACTTCTCCATCTTTTCTACATCTACGTAATGAGGAAAGAATTACAGCTTTCATGGATTCCTTGGCCTCACTAAGCATGGTGGCTTCCTGCACAGATGATTTACTGATGTATAGTTTCTGCACAGTACGGGAGAAAAAGAGCAATCTAAGGTGTTTTAGTCATCGAGTTCATGACCACAAGATTGATTCTCGGTGCTTGGCAATTGATACAAGTAGCAACAGAGGCACCATAAAGGCACTTTATGATGTATCACTGTCTGTATATATACTATGGCCTGTGCAACATAAGCTCATTCATGGCATTTTCCATCACAATAATACAAAGTCTGTGCCTGCCATTTGTTCACTGACTTTTTCATAATGGCAGTGGTGCCCCTAGAAATTTTTCACAGGGGTGGCCAGATAGGGGCCACTGAAAAACCAAAAACCATAACTGAATTTCAGAATCATATTATGCTGTTGACATACAGGCTAGTTTAAAACTATGTCAGTATGAGAGTTAAGGAATTGCATAGTCTCATATGCATAAATTAATACTGGTACAGTTTGAAGTTTTGGGGAGACTTGTGGGTACACATAGAACCCATTTTTATTCAGATATCTGAGGTGAGAGGTCAAGGTCCCACATCAGCTATTAGTCCAAATTTGGAGCTCTATTTAGCCCCCTTCCAGACAAGCTAGCGTGACATAGTACCAATGGATGCTTTAAGTCGTCTGGCTCCACAGGATACCACTATTTTCATGCTAGCTTGAAAAGTTAGAGAAAAAAATGGCCACAGCTTCTTCAAGTGATGTTGGCCTCCATTTTTTTCACCAGGGGGGCCAGCAATTGTATCAGAGTGGCCATGCCCCCTCCCCAGCCCCTCCTTCAGGGCGCCACTGTATAATACAAGACTGCTCCCTCTCCTTTTCTAGCTTCAGTAGAAAAATTTATTTTACTTTACTGAAAGTCTGTGCTGTATAGGGTCGCATAGGAGTTCAGCCCTACAGTAAATCACCTCAGTCTTTACACCACTGTCGCTCATTATTACATTAAGAAAATCAAGGACATTACTTTCAGATTTGTGTATATCATTGTTAAACACAGAGGATTAAACTAGTAAATGTAAATACTGTTCAGTGGCCATGGGAGCTGACACCCCTGCTGTTAAGTTTGGCCACATAACACATTTGCAGGTTTACTTGCCAATAACAAGAATACTAAAGCAGCCAGAGTTTGCTGACAATATGCAAGGGCCTGAATGGGAACCGAAAGGAATCTGAAAATGGCACCAAGGATTTTACAATCGATTTAACATCTAAAAAAAGTAATTACAGCGTCTCTCTTCTCCCACTGAAACTTAAATGGTATTTTTTAGATTTTATGTTTCACTTATTGAATTCCTTAGCTGCTCTTGTCGGTGGCTATAGTATCCATTAATGCGAGTGGTCGAGACCAATGAGCCAAGGCAGGGTCTGCTTTTGCAAGCCAATTGTCTGCCCGGGATCCTGCAGCGAATGCTTTGGCCTACTGCTGATATGAGAACAATCACAACCAGTGAGGAGTCATGAGCATCTGGCTGCCCAGAGCGACAGAAATACTTTATCACAAGCTTTGAAGTGTATAGATGAAGGGATGTTTTCCTATGGATTGACGAGGGAAATGTGTTGCCAGCCACACTCAACCTGTAAAGCCTCTTCCCAGCCATAGTCGGCACACACACACCACCAACAAAACCCCCAACTCTTTAGACTCTTTTATCAAGGTACAAAACAGTGCTTTCTTTTAAACTGATTATTCCAATTATGAGCTTATAGTCTTGAAGCCATGACAACCAATGTTTAAGCTGATTGTTTCAGATCATCCAAAGGGAGGAAAAAAAACATTTGTGAAGCATTTAAATCAGTCATGGTTAAAGTTGTAACTGTGCCAATGGGAATACAAAATCAAAAGAAAATACCAGTTGGCTTGCTGAGTAAAGCTAACAGCTCCAACTGTTATGCTGCTGCATATGGTTATATTCCACAGCGATTCAAAATGATTCATGTGAACAGCCTTTGGTTGTTTTTTTTTTTTTTGCGTATGAATGGGTATGTGTTTGCTTCAGTGACTTTGTTTCCCTCTAAAATGTTGCTTTGATTCCTGTCCAATTATATATGTATACATAGATAAAAAACAGTAAAGCAGTTTGAATGATTTTGTAGAATTATTCAAAACTTAAATACAAAATTAAAAAAAGAAATCATCAGTACCTGTAATTGTCTTGCAAGGAGCACAACAGAGCCAGGTGAGGATTGCTGGTGGAGTCTCGCCCCTGTGGAGCAGCTGAGGAACAGGGATGACAGACACTTCAGGGCTGTCCACCACAGCCTAAATCTAATAGATAAACCTATTATGTGCACATGGTTGCATGGGGGATATGCTTAAGTGTCTGGTTTTCACATCAGACATGTTAATGCAAAGAGCCAGGACTTTGACATACCAGAATACTCTGGTATACACTCATGGGATGCACCAGGGGAAGGGTCTATCCTCGTCAGGGGAGAAAGGCTTGGTTGCAGAGGATGGATGGTTAAACAGTCCGTCAGTGTGTCCTGAGGCACATCAGCAGTGGATTTCATCTAGAGACATGGCACGTGGAACATATACCGATCAGCCAAAACATTAAAACCAATGACAGGTGACGTGAACAACATCGATCATCTTGTTACAATGCAATGTTCTGTTGGGAAAACTTGGGTTCTGACATTCACATGGATGCCACCTGACACGCTCCACCCACCTAAACACCAGTGCAGACCAGGTATCCCCCCTTCATGGCAGCGGCAGTCCCCAGTAGCATTGGCCCCCCCAGCAGGACATTGCACCATGCCACACCACAAAAACTGCTCAGGAGTGGCCTGAGAAACATGACAGAGACCTCAAGGCAATGACCTGGCCTCCAAAGCCCCCAAATCCCAGTCTGATCAAACATCTGTGGGACGTGGTGTTACCCCACCTCACAACCCACAGGACCCAAAAGATCTGAAGCCAACGTGTTGGTGCCAGACACTATAGTACCACCCCCAGAGGTCCTGTGTTCCTGCCATGACAGGTCAAAGCCAAGTCCGATTCAAGGAGGACCCACCATGGATCGGGGGTACCTCTGGGGTACCAGCACGTCCGTCAAATGGATCAGATTGGGATCTGAGGTATTTGGAGGCCAGGTCAACACCTTGAGCTTTTAGTCCCATTCCTCGAATCATTCCTGAGCAGTTTTTGTGGTGTGCTGGGGGGCCACTGCCATTGACCAGTGCCAATGCCATAAGGGGGTTTACTTGGTCCACAACAGTGTTCGGGTGGGTGAAGCGCATCAGGTAGCATTTACATGAATGCCAGGACCCAAGGTTTCCCAATGGAACATTGCATTGAAACAAGATGATCAATGTTATTCACTCGCCAGTGGTTTTAATGTTTTGGCTCATCTGTGTAAACAGTGGTAAACAGCTTTAACAGTTATGTGATTCTGGAGGAATTTTCTTTTAGTTGTTGTATTATATATCTAACAGTATTAATGCCATCATCACTCTGGCTATTTATTACTTCTCTTACCTCTCTCTTTACAATGAATGTTGTGCACTATATATTTTTGTATGTATATAATAGCCGTAGCAGAATAAAAGCCAGTCATAAATAGTAGCAAGCATTATGACAATCTCAAGGATTATAGCTTTGCTATCCTGAGAACTATTTGCAGAAATGACAAGCACTAAGAGATTATGGATGCTATGTGGGTTAATATACAGTTTATATTGCAGTGGCCTTGGTAGGAAACAAATAAATAACATGCCCTTGATCTTGAAAAGCATCAGTGACATCACAATAACAAAAAACATTTATTTAAGTTTTAGATGAAAAAGCCATGCATGTGGGAGACTTCACTTTTTTTGTAACAACCCACCTTCTTTGTATCTATGGTGACATTACCCTCAGTAAGAGCTAAAGAGCATAAATCTCTGCCATGCATGCAAAAATCTCAACTGCAGTGCCATAATGTGAAAGTTTGAAATGGTGTCAACCTGAGTGGGAAATAAAGAAGGTGAAAATAAGACAAAGACATGACAAACAACATAATTATGTGTGGTGCTGTGAGACCTGGGTCTGCCAGTGTGAGCGTGAGTGGATGAAAGTAGGATTTTCATCTGACGGCGCGCACACCTACATGTGAGTTAATGAAACTTAAAGTAAATGACATTTTTCTGTGAGCAGTTAAGTTGCAGAGTTGAACAGAGTGGGATGGAGAGCACATACACGAGAGGATAATGCTCAATGCTGTCAGTTAATTAGGAAAAATTAAAGCACAGGGACATGATGACATGTGAAAGGTAGCTTTTCTTTTGTTTGCTGTATGGTTGCAAATGTTGAGGTTGTGATGCTGTCTACTTGCAATCATCACTAATGAGATTCGGTCAAGTTGGGAAGTTATTCTTGACAGCAAAACCTGGAGGCAGCAAATGTTGTACAAATCAAATTCATTTGAAAGTCAACATAATTTAGTGGACGGCACTGATCGTATAAAAATAATGAACATAGCCACTGTGACATCACCCATTGGTTTGCAGACCTCTGTTTTGAAGCCTTGAACTTCGATTACGGCTGTCGCTATCTTGGTTTTTTGGAGCCAGATGTGACGATATTTGGACAAAAGGGTGGAGCTATGGAGGAGTGAGGGGTAGATCTGATCATAGACTGTGGTGATACCTTGCAGACAGCTTGTCACTCAAGTGGCCCTGCCCTTAAATATGCTGTTAAGCTATAACTTTTCATGAATGTTGAAAGTAGCAAAAGAGATCAAAACCGTTTTGTATACCAGGCTGTAAACGTGTTTATTTCTGCTGTTACGTTGTGCATTTTAAGATGGGTGTCTATGGGGATTGACTCGCTTCTGGAGCCAGCCTAAAGTGGCCATTTAAGGAACTGCAGTTTTTGGCACTTCAATGCTAGCTTAATTTTCCAGTCACAGAGGCTGCTGCTTGGCGGACAGTTTACACATTCATTCAGGTGTGTGCTTAGTTTTATGTTTCACAGTAAAATACATTCTCAAGAACAATGTTTGTTCTCAAAAAGGAAAAACTTGAATTGTATAACAGCATGTATTGTAGTACGTACAGTACCTTCTTCCGCAACTGCCGTTCTTTAGTAGAGTGGGATTTCACGTGTTTCCTCAAGGAGCTGGGATCAGTGTAACGCTTTGCGCAGCCAGGCACCTGGCACGTATATGGCTTCTACACAACCACAGACACATGCAGGCACACATGCACATAAACAAGCCTTGAAGTACCATCCATTATTGTATGCATTTGTGCAAGGCTGCCACTCACTGTGTCCAGGTGTGTACGCTGGTGTTTGGCTCTGTCACTCGAGTTGCTGAAGGCCTTGTGACATCCTGGGTGCTGACACACGTACGGTTTCTCCCCTGTGTGGCTACGTAGGTGGATCTTCAGATTTTCCAGCCGAGAGAAAGCCTTCTTGCAGCCCTCGAACTGTAAACGCACATAAACACTGTAAAAATTGTCCTGCTAACAGATCAACACATTTCTGCTACATTTAAAACATACCTGGGGGGCATTAATTTGAAGTCATTTATGTATTTTTGCTGTGGGCTTCATCTGGTGAAATATCCAATATAAGCTCTACAAGCATCTCCAACCTGATGTTACACATGCACCTGGAGCTATGAGCTTATTAGCTGTAAGTTGCTGCAGACAAAAGCCTGCTGATCTGTGTGTGTGGGAGGGAATGAAAATGAGGAAATACAGAAAACCTTTTGAATAGAAAAATTGTGGTCAATTAATCTCAACTGACACTGAGGTAAGCCCTAACTGCTCACTGCTAGAGTAGTTTCACGGTTGACAGGTGAGCAGCTATGAAGCAGCAAAGCCCTGAGAGGGGGAAACATTTGGGAGAGGCCGGTGCATTGTAGTTTTATTGGAAGTTTATCTAGTCAGAGCTTAAACTGCTGGCTGTTGTAGTGAGCATGATGGCACGATTCCTTGTCTCTATATGTTTGATTTTTATACAACCACATTGCTGTTCAAGCCAATTCCTACTCGCTGCAGTTTGTACTACGTAATTTAGATGACAGTGCCAGTGTTGGGGTTACAATGCTAATTATTGGAAATATCCTCTGCATGTAACTTTGCTACAGAGCTACTACTGATACAGAGCACATCACATTATCTGCCTGACAAATCTGGCACCGATAATTAAAGCTAGAGTCTAATAGATCAATTTTTTAAACAATCGCTATGTGTGATGCTTAACAAGCACTCTCTGTCCGTGCACAGGCCCAGAAATAACCTTATTAAAATTAAATGGTTTCTGCTTGTGAGCCATTTTAATTACAGTCATGGTCATGCCCTAGTCTGACAGGTAATTCTTAGGAGTTTACTATCAAGTTAAGATAGTAGTCAGAGTCAGAGTTATTCGATATGATACCGAATTTATAGGAGCACAAATGTAGTAGAAATCCATGGTGTGTTTTCACCCATTTTCTTTTTGTGTTTTGTATGCACTCATGTTGTAAGAGAAGCTATCGTTGTCACAGTGATGTTGGGATCTGAATATTGTTTTATACACATAATCATGAGGGTTTGTGATTTAAGACAATATGATTTGTGAAAACTATGTGGGTTTGTGAAAACCATTATTTGACCTTAACACTCTTGCAAAAAATCTAAAAAAAAAGAGAGTTCTTTTACTCTCCCACTGTTTCTATTATACATTTCATTTTTCTATTGTAATCAAAGTAACACAGTTCTGATGGTTGTGTGTGTCACCAGCAGGGGTCAGTGTTTATACACACATCACTGTATTGTCATTTGTGTTTTGAATCGCTCATCTTGCATCACCTTGACAGCGGCTGGTAGCTATCAATTACAAAACAAAAAAAGTCACTTGTAAACTATCTGTGATACATTTACAGCAAAACTCAGACAGAGGAATGAATACATTATGTGTATAAGAGGCAGCACACAAGTCTTGCACTACTTCATGGGCAAGTGCAAGGCCACTGTAATTCTAACCAACAAAACAGCTCCTTTTTTTGCAGTATCATGCAACCACAGTGACTTCACTGCTAAAATATGTCTTTCTCTGTTACTCTCTCCCTTCCTGTTCACAGGGGGGCTGGAATGTACTTACTAAGCCTTATGGAGAAACACACAGACCATGTCCAATTTTGTTATTTTTCTCCTCTAAGACGAGATTCCTGACATACTGATACCTCTCAGTCATCGCTGCCAAAGCCAAATTAAAATGTCTCTGCCCATTAATAGTTCACTAATAACATTCCTCCGCATTCCACAGTAACACTTGCCTTACTTTCTCATCACGACACAGCTGTTTCCTGACATCTATTATTAAGAAACTATCCCGCTTCTTCTGCAAATGAACTTGAAAATAAAGATTTTTCACATCACTTTTTACTGAACTTTGAAGCAACACTTTTGTCACAATTTAATGTTTGTAATGATGTTTGATAAGAGCATAGATTTGATAAGCACTGCATATGAAGAATCCAATTCTCAAAGCAAATGACTAAATTGGAAAAAGAACAAAACTGTAGAGTAGCACAAAATGAGACCGGCTTCCCATAACCTCTTCCCACGCATTTTCGCTCTGGCACTCTTTCCAATTTTGGTCTATTACAATAAATGCTCTTCATAAAGGGGATGGTCTTGCAAAGTGGACCAATCCTAAATATAGTTTAAAGAAAAGAATTAACAACAGACCCCTCAGCTAGAATGCCACATGAAAAATGGCACAGACAGAGATAAATAGTCTCTCACAACCAAAGTGGTCAGACAACTGAGAACCAGCATAAAGCTAAAATACTGCCAAGACTCGAGACTAGCCAGGGGTGGGTAACTGTGTAACTCTCTCTCTGTCTCATAAAGCTCTCATAAAGCACGGAGGGCTTTTTAGTTTGTCGCGAGGGACGTTTGGTCTGAAAAGAAAGCAGCATGGCTCCTCAGTGTAGATCAGTGTTACAGCCAGCTTCTGACAGGTCCTGGCAGGTACTCATGCCCTGGCTGAACAATGACAGCTGCAGTCTGTGCCAGCAGAGTCTGTCCAGTGCCCAGTCTTAGCCTGAGGTCAATTCACTCTGAATTCCACTCTTCCCTGTTTCACAAGTGATGTTTCTCCCCTCTTAGCTCTTTTTTTGTTTCACCTGTTTCCTTCGACTGTATATTTTTAGCCTCCCAGTCGCTGTCTCTGGTGACTTGTACCTTTCTGCTACACGAGAAATAATTTTTGGCACAGCTACTCAAAGTTTGGAACAGAAAATAAAATCAAACATATGAGCTTTAGAATAATTAAAACATCACATGTACAAAACTGTCAGTAACTGGCAGAGGTGTGGACTAGAGTCACATGAACAAACTTGATGACCTTAGACTCGACAAAATCAAAAGAGACTTGCAACTTGACTTGGACTTTAACACCAATGACACCAATGCATTTTGACTTGAAAATAATGGATGCCTTCCCTCAAGACCAAAGATTATAAAGTGTGGCAAAAATCATTAATTTCCTTTTATTGTTCGATTCAAGTAACCTTAACGCTATTTATTCCCAGGAAGTCGACACTTCCCATCCATCCAATCAAGTTGCAGGAACGAACTATTATCACTTACGTTATGTTAGTGACCTCCAGTTGAAAAAAAAAAAAAAAAAAACATTCCGAAGATAATTTTGTCTGTGTACAAAAACTACACTGTGGTAAACAAAAAATGGTAAAATGAGGCTAACATTGATATAGCTAGCAAGCTAATGCTTAACAGCTAAAGATGTATTTATCAAACTCATTTAAACAAATAAATGCAAATTTTAAAAAGCATTGGTTATTTTTGTACATTTAAATTAGCATTACATTTGGTGAAGAGCGCATTATGACTTGTTTAGGTGTTGGAAACTCAGTTCAAAGTATTAACATGGCATGGGGTTCGAGACTTTAGGCCTGTTTCCACTGAAGAAGTTCCTGGTACTATTTGGGGGGCAGGAACTACTACAGGAACGTCCCCCCGCTCGGCCCTCTCAACCGCCGTGTCTCCACTGAGAGAGCGGAGTAGGAGGAAGGTTCCTGTAAAGTTACCGGGCTCTGGATGTGATGTAATTGTTGCACGACCATTTTGACCGGGGCGACGTAGTGGCATAGGGACGCTGTTAGCTGTTAGCCGATAGCGGTGTCTGTAATAACTCACTAAACTCACAAAGTGGCCCGTGAAAAAAATCTTTTTTCCAGCAGATGTCTTAGTTACAACATGACTGAGCTAACTGGAGTAGTTTCATGTCGTATTCGACAACGGGAGGCTTTTAACAGATGACGTCCTGATGTTAGCTTTGCTGCTGCTGTTAGCTGTCGCTGTCAGCTGATGCTTTCTAGACATTGCGATTTCCCAAAACTGAATAAATACCACACACAGCATCACAAAACTGCTTTGCTAGCTCAATCATGTTGTAACTAAGATATCCGCTGGAAAAAATATGTTTTTCACGGACCGGTTATTGAGTTTGTTTACATGGCGGTGGAAGCTATGAACGAGCTAACCCTCGTCTGCTGAGTTTTAAAAATGCCGGCTATTTGTTGCTTTCTGTTGATGTTACATTCCGCCTTGAGTATATCCAATCAGCACCAAGTAATCCCCAAGCCCCAGCCAGGAGTTTTCGGGGCGTTCTGAGTACCTACTCCAAGGCAGGGACTTGTTTAGCCCCTGTAAAAGTTCCGGAACTCTGTCCTTCGGGGGTGGGTCCTGTGGTGGAGACACGCACCAACGGCACGGGCCCTGTAAATTTACCCTGAAGTTCCTGCGGTGGAAACGGGCCTTTAAAGTTTAGGACATAGGACGTGACCTGGGACTTGTCAGTCTTGATATGGCACTTGATGTTGGACTTTACATGGGCCTTGCCTGGCTTGACTTGGGATTTGACTTGAGACTTGTTTGTGACTTGCAAAAACAATGACTTGTTACCACCTAAATTTCAGAAGACACTGGGACTTTTCATTTACCCAAGGAAGAGGTTCAGAGCTCTGGATCAACTAACGCCTTTGTCTACTAATGCAAATAATGAAAGAATCTGTTACATGAACGTGTATTCCAGATGCTAAAGCATTGTCTCCTAGGGTTAAATCTAAGTAATTTCCCTCCAAACAATTGTAAGGATGGCGCTTAAAATGTTGTCAAACCTGAAATCTTATCGGGCCTGCTTTCACTGGCATCAGCGAGGCTTGAATTACAAGCTGCTCATGTGGGAAAAATTTAGTGGATTAGCAGAGAACTAAGGTTTCATTTTCACTCCTGATCACAGCATGAATAATGCATACTGAAGGAAAGAGGATGAAGTCAAATTTGGCCAACTTTGCCAAGAACTGATGCTCACTGGTGCCAGTTATTATTTTACTGAACAACAGCCAGTAGAATTTGAATTCAGGAATAACATTTATATGTGCTTGCTACAACTTAACCAAGTGGAGTTTTCACATAGTGCTTTTAAAACCTCATATGTTTAAATCACAGTGACGTGCACAAACAGACTGGTGAGTCAAGGATATGTTAACAATCTGCTGAATCATTGTCAAACAGATTGTGAGATGACAGGTACAAGCCTGGGCCTGCCCTATACCTTCACTGTGTAACAAGAGCTACCTCATTGTTCTGCTGCTGCGAGCTCTCACTTCATTTATCATGCATCAGTTTATTTACCTGCCAATCACTGCCAAGGAAAAACTGGCTGCTGCATATTGGACGACTGTATTATATGAGAGGTGGGCTCATTGAAGAGAAATTTGTTTTGTCTAAATGTTAGAGGACTTTAGCTTTTACAAACTGTTCTGTGAGATCCAGAGTTTTCATATCTGGCATTTCCATCATTTAAACACTACTTTTCTGCCTCAGAGGGAGTAGGTGTAATCACATGCACATCCTCACGCAAAGATGTATGGAAGTGCTCATGTAAAGACAGAAACAGCCTGCACTCTTGACATAATGTTCAGTCTTGACCTGAAGAAAATCCACACAGAATCAAAATGTCTCATTAAAGCACAGGAAAGATGAGTTGAGTGTGCTGTCTCTTCACTACAAATTAGCCCGTACTATAATTACTGTACCACAAACACAAGTGCCACTTTGTGCCAATTCTGTTTTTGGCAATGGGTTGTGACCATGAATACTTTCTTCATTATTTAATGATTACACGGAACCCACATTTGCAGCCCCATGGCAACAGAGCGAGCTCCAACTAATAAGTGAGTATTTTGGTACAAAAGGTCGACTGCAGGTATGTGTGCCGTTAACAATTGACTTGTTGAAAGCAGCGACGTGAAGCATGTTTGGCGAGTGGTTTGTCAATTACTCATCGAAGTCTCAAGTATTTTCCCAGTGGGAGTGAGAAAAAAAAAAAACAAAGGAGGGAGTTCAGAGTGGTGTACAGTCCAGATATATTTTTTATCCATGCTAGCAATGTGTTTTCATGAAATTGCAATGTTGGTCTACCACTAAGCACTTTGGTCCAGCCTTTGGTTGAATTTTTATCGAATGCCACCATTAGATTAACATTATTATACTTACTTCAAACCAATTACCTGCAGAGCTGGTGTAGATGGAATTTGTCGCTAATCAACAAATATTAGCATGCTAACACACAAGGGTGTAGGTTTTGCTTTAATATTGGGAGGGGACACATATGAAACGGGTGGTTTTGGGGGTCCTCTGTCAAGAAAGTTTGAGCATCAACTCTTATTTTCCTCCATTCTGGCGATTTTTATGCACTGATTTGTCCCTTTTCTGTATCAGTTTATGGTGTAAATGTCTTTAATTATGTCAAAGTAAAAGTCCTGTGCTACTTTGATGGGGGCACACATTCTAAATATCGAAGGGGGCGTGTTGCCTATGCTAACACCAAGGGCAGAAATATACACATTGCAGGCAGTATGGGTTGCACTGTGAGGTTGGGGGCCCATAGAGAAAGATGATGATGATGATGATGATGATGATGATGATGATGAACAATGATTGCTGGGTAATATATATGTTGATGTCATCCATGTTGAGTCTCTGTTTGATCATGTGACGAGATGATATGTGCACAATAGCATAAATTTGGGCCCATCATAATAGCGTGCGCCGGTTGTAACTACCTTACGCCATTAGCGAATGAGCCTAGTCTCACTCCAAAGTTGTTGAAATCTGGCGCTTGGGTAGTGACTTGCGGCGTCAGAAACCAATGAAAAAAGTTGTCCTTTAACTTTGGTATCATAGACGGCTGGTTACCATTATAGTTTAAAGCGTCAGGGGGAAAACACAGTTGGACAAGGACGAAAGTTAAGGTGGCGAAAGTCCGAGTGGGAGGGGCAGGAGGGGTGGTGGATGGGTCCAACAAATGCTGACTTTGACCAGAGAGAGCCGTGTTCGCATCATGAAAGATTCTAAAGCCAAATCCTGTTCTTTTTTCCTAAACCCAACCACGTTTTTGTTGTTGAAGGAAAAAAAAGTTGGAAGTTGAAAGAAGACAATGCATGTAACAAGTAGAACTTGACATCCCAGAACATCAACAACAAACACACCCAGTGGAAAGTCTATGACCAAAACGTCAATATGTGATGGAGTTGGAGTGAGAATGTGGTGGGCTAACACACGTTGCTAATATGGTGAACATGGTAAACATACATGTGCATATTAGCATTGCCTCCATGAGCATGTTTGCATGTTGACAGCTTCAGACTCTTAGTCTTGTTTCTAATATTCTCACTTCACATTTCAAACAAATGAACAAACTAAAGAGGCATCATTAAACTGCAACACATCTTAAAGAACAAGATCATCCATCACGGACAAACAAAGCTACTAGTTCATCAATAATTCGGCCCATGGATAAGCTCCAACTCTTTGGCCACAAATGCAGACCTGTAGAGAGCCAGACTATGGGGCATCACCTTCCCAGATCGACAGCCAAGTTTGTCAGACGGTGGCCTGGCAAGCCCCCTGCTGCTGACAAGCCCACTAGCTACTAGAGAGGCACGGTGCCATGCCAGATCTAAAGGGCTAGGCATCCTTTGTGCTGATTTAATAACTACATAATTGAGTTAACTCCCATGTCAATTATCACAGAGCTCTGCTAATTACCCCATGGCTAAAGTTAAGAGGAGAGAGGGGCCATATTTTTGATCTAAACCTTGGCCATGAACACAGAGCACATGAAGGCATTTGCCCTAAAAAAAAGGTTTTTTTTTTTTTTTTCCTGCAGCCTGAGGCTTGAAAGCCTTCAACTAGATACTGTGGCTTTGAATGGAACATTGAGAATTGAACTCAGTGAGCCCCTGACATTCATCATGTTCCTGCTTTGACTGCATTCACTCATTCTTCTCACATAGTGGTAAAAAAACATTCATCTGCCTGATAGAGAGCTGTGCTATCTGTGTATTGTTAGCAGGGGAGATAGTAGAAGGAATATTCTTTCTAAGAGGCAGAGAGATATAAAGTATGAAAAAATAGATCCAGAATTCTGTTGCATGAGAAAAGACAAGGTTGTGATCTGCATGTTGTACCGTGCACTTGTTGGGTTTCTCTCCTGAATGGACCCTCATGTGGATAAGAAGCTTGTATCGAGCATTGAAGGGCTTGAAGTTGCGTGGACAGCCCACCCAGTGGCATGCGAAATCCTCTGCCTTCCTCTGATCCACATGTAGTTTTTCTATGTGCCTTACCAGCTCCTCCCTTTGGTCATACACTGCACTGCAGTCCAACCACCTGCAGCAGTGGGCCCCATAGTCCTCCAGCTCCCCTTCTTCCTCCTCCAGCATAGGGACCTGTGGTAGAAAGCTCATCCCATGCCTGGTAGGGACCATGGGAGCGTGTGTGAGAGGGTCCTGAGAGGGCGGCTTTATTTTGCAGTGACGTCTAGTGAGGTGGATGTGCTGGTGTGAGTGGTAGGGTGGTGGAGGCCCCTGTGGAGTAGCAGCTTCTTGGATGGTAGTCAGCAGTGTTGGCTGCAACTGTGGAGGAGGCAGCAGGTTGTTGGTGGTTTGGCTGCAGCTCCCTGAAGTCCTCTCCAGTGCCCCTCCTTCCTCTGGGAGACACTGCTGGTCCACCACCATGTTCGCCATCTGGCTCTCCAGACCCCCTCCCTCTTCAAGCAGCTGCATACGGCCATAATCTGTCTGTGGGGCCAGAGCCTGTGAAGAGCCTGGTGTGCTGTAGGGATGGGTGTGGGGGATGCAGCTGCCTCTCACACCCAGGAAGTGACCGTACCCCTCAGAGTGGACAGGTGAGAGTGTAGGGTGGGAAGCTGGAGAGCTGCGGGAACCATTGATATAAGCCACGAGTGAAGTAGGTGATGTGCGTATGATGGAGTTGAAATCAATACCCATGACGTCCGACAAAGGCGACATGGAGAGAGCTCTCTTTTTTGCACGAGACTGTCTGGGGCTCCCGGCATCACATGCAAAGAGGTACGAGGGCAGGGAAGCAGAGGTGCTAGTGCCACCTGATATGGTTGTGCCGGACATGGCTGTGCCAGGTGGGAGGCTGAGCTGCTCCCCTCCCTCGCTTGCCTGGTTGGAGCACTGACCCAATGGAGGAAGCACACGGTAGCCGTACGACCAGTCGTGTCTGCCACTGAACACTGACTGTGTTTCAAACAGACTCAGAGTAGTGGATGCCAGGGATTCTCTGGACTGTACGGATCTGAAACAGATTGTTGTTATCCACTTTAATATCACTCCTAAGATTTAGCGAGCTCATCATCACATACTGTTATTGATATTACCCACCTGGCGTCAGTGTGGGGAATCTGCACACTGTGTGGATGTGACGGAGGATGTTGTGCAGTATATCGTTGGCCTGTCACAACAGTCATGGGACTGCTGGTCACTGTCAGGTTAGCAGCGGCTGGCTGACCAAGAACTTCCATGGTAGCTCCAAACACCGAGCAAGCTGCTGGACACAAACCCAAAATTCAATAAATGTACAGCAGTGTATATAGCAGAGCAACAACTTTTATCCACATTCAATAAATCCCAACAGATCAGTTGAAATTGTTAGCATAATATTAAGCCACTATCTGGAAAACACATTAGCAAATGCAAATAAAACTCAAACGCATCACATTAAATCTGCTTTATCTAAGGTTTATGCAGCAGATTGCGGAATTTCCCTCGCCAACCTGACACTTTCTGCTCTGTTAATCACTAATGAGCTTTTCACCTCCTTCCACTTTTCCCCCGTAGAAAATTTAGGGACAAGCTTTATGCTTGGTTAATTATCAATAAATAAGAACAAGACGTAGCTGGCAGGAAGACAGTGAGGTTGTGAGGAGCACACTGAGAATAAGTGAAGTATAACGAAGTGAATAGTAAATCAGTTGTGGTTTTGTTTACGGCATCGTTCTGTCAGACTATGGGCTGTGTGCTCTGTTTTAGATCCTGAATATTATAAATAGAAAATACTGTCCTGGAGAGTGAAGTTGCACCTGCATTTTGTGAATAGATATGTTTCACCTTTGTTTTTACCTTTGAAGCTGTTAGAGGAGCAACGTCCAGTTTGTACAGTAGCTGTCACTGCTTTGGTTGTAGGATGATGTATAGGCACTTGCTGCTGTGGGGATGCAGTTGATATGTTCAGATGTTTCCCGTTGGTCAGCACCTGTCTGCGGAGGCTCAGGGTTGGCAGCACAACATGGCTTCCGCTCTGTTTCCCAGAAGCAAAGGAGTGGATGGCTCCTCTTGTCACTTTCTCCATGCCCGAGGAGGGACTTAGATCGGCCAGTTGCGGGGAGGACATGGGCAGCCTGATGGACTGGGACTGGTGTCCTCTGATCATGCTCAGTGACGGGGACACGCTGCAAGGAGACACCAGGAGCTGACAACTTTTTCCACTCATGGCTGAAGGAAAGTCACGAGAGGCTCATGAGGAAGTTGATCCAAGGAGCAGCAGTTTGTAAAATGTGCTTTATGATGATGCAGTGCTCATACCTAGGAAACAAAAACAACAAAATATAAAACCTACAGTCCACAAATAAATGTAATATTAAACCAACAATACACAGACTTTGTACTTTGAACTTCAAACCTGCAGAAAACCACTCAACTGGAGATAACTTCACTGTGCACCATGTAGCCTATTTTACATTGTACTTACAGATACACAAAAAATACAGATATTAGCCAATATAAAGGATGTTATCATAAGACAGTATATTATTTTTAAATATCAGCATGCTGTGAGAGTTAACATAATGTATCATAAACATACTGATGGAACTTTTAGGCTATAAAGAAAATCTGTTTTCCCACTATAATCCATAAGAACAGCAGCTACTCGATTTAATCTAATAAAAGTTTAATAAAAAATGCTTACAAGTGTATCTGAAAAAAGTAAAAGAGAAAAAAAGGACTTTGCAGTCAAGTTTTCCGTCATACCTCTATTGTCGATGGCGCGTTCACTTACCTATTGCTGTTGTCGCAAACACTTTAACCAAAGTGACATGTCAGGATGAATCGCTCCTGCAGTCCGCCGAGCTGTGAATGTAATCTGGATGACAACAGGAGATCAACTGCCGTGTTTCTCTCAGTTTGTGATGGCTGTGCACTGAGCAGAGAAGTCAAGCCTCTGAGGAATCTCGCAGTTTGAACCGCGGCGTCCCACCTCTGCTGTTTCCAGGAACTTCTTTCCTTTCACCGGTTACCCCTTTGCCCTTGACTCGGCTCTATGTGAGCGACGTCATTTCAAACTGAGTGCAGTTTAACAGTAAATAATTAAAGATTTTTTATTTGTTTTGTTAGTGCTTTGCTTTGTCCTGCTGGAGTCTGGGCGCGTGTGCGCGGATATGGGAGCGCGTGCTCCATGATGCCACCATGAGAAAATATTTATTTCTTACTATTGGAATATTATTATTCTTTTTTCTTTCTTTTTTAAAGAGTTTTCAATTTAAATTATTGTAAAGGAAAAATAACGTCCACTTAAAACAACTTTTATTCCGCACTTTTAAAAACTTCCCACTCGTGCAGTAATTTAATGTCACATTTTTAAAGGGATACTTCACCCCCCCCCCCCCAAAAAAAATACCATTTATAAATCAATTAGTCATGCTGTGTTACCTTGACTTCTTAAAGAAAACTTATCTTTTCTTGCATGCATCCATGGAAAACAGTGAACATATTGATTGAATGATTGATTGGGGGCAATTTAACAACAGCAAACTGTATAAAAAAAACCTTATAATTAAAATGACACCATTAAAACTGGACTAAAAGTGAAACTTATCGATTCTTCAACGTCTTCAGGGAATTTAAGATAGCCTGCATGACTAATTGCTATACAAATGGCCATTTTGTGGGTGAAGTATTACTTGATTAGGCTACTTAAGATGGCTACAGGCTATCTGTTGATTCTGATTCTGAAGCATAAAAATTTATGGTGGTAAGGTGAAGGATTTTTGGGTCTACTATATAACTGCAGTGATACATTCATCCACAGTGTAGCTCAAGGCTGGGAAGAGAATGAATGAGTATAGCTTAAAGTAACATGAATATGAGTCAAGTGTTCTTTGATGTAGCCTAATATTGATAGTTTTTTCATCTCAATAAAGGTGACATTGAAGAAATCTTTAAATGCCATTCTGAAAAGGAAATTTTTAAAAAGCGCAATTATTTGACCTCAGACTGGGCCAAAGTCGAAATTCTGTACTTTGTTTTTGTATTTCTGTTGGTATGATCATTTATTTCCCTGCACCACAGTTTCTTTCCAGTCTGTATGCCACTGAGCATTCAATTCGTAATTTGAACCCCCCCCACTAACTCCCCCCCCCCCCCGCTCCTCCTCCTCCGCCTCCCCTAACCCTCCACCTCAGCTCAGACCCCATTGTTAGGGCACTTTTCTCCTGGCTGCTGGAGTGTTTGCTCTGTAGATCCTGCTCCAGGTTGCCATGGAAATCAGCATGTTTATAGAAGGAGGGACGGTAGCTGTTCTTCGGGAACATAATATGGAAGAGGGGCTCTGCTGCACAATCTATAATAATGATGGACGTATAGTTTGACAGACAGCATACAGTTAATTAAAATACATAGTAAACAGGCTATGGTGAGTGGCTGGTGACTAATTGGAGTATTCAATCAGTCATAATGACTGCTGAGAATCTGCACTGATCAGAATGGCGGATTGTGGATGTATATGGTGCAGCGCCTTCTCTTGGCTTATGAGCTAAAACTGGAAGTCAGTAAGGATGCTCTGCCTGGCTGTTATTTATAAAAGCTGCCTACCTGTTTGATTATTTTCTGCTTTAAGACTTTAATTTTTCTAAAAGGAAATCCACTGATTATGAATTTTACTGCCGGCATCTGAGACATTAGATTGAGTACTTGAGATTTTAGATTAAAGAAATTATGGTTTTGAATGTAAAGTGGTAGTGACCTCTGGTGGGGTAATATTTAATTACTATGCTCCCAGCCTGTGAAGTCAGTGGCCCTACACTGTTTTCAGCTTTAGCTCATCACGGTACTTTTCACTCCTATATTAATTAATCTGACATCTTTAAAAATATTTTGCCATTGGCTTTAAAAAATACAACAAAACTGGGATGTACTGCAGAGCAGAAGACTTTTCTATTCCCATCTGTTTTGTGGGAAGTGTTCCCTCTTTTGCCAGCAGGGGATACTATTAGTACACCAATGGGCTGGCTGCTATTGAGTTAATAGCACCACAAATGTTCAGATACAGAAAAAAAGAATAAGAAAAAAACGGGCATGTAAAGATGTAAGAAAGGACAAAGTGTGATGCTTGTGGAGGTCATGGAGATAAGACCGCTCCTTGTTTACATGTTTACATAAAATGCTCTACATCCTCCAGGGATCTTGCTTGCTTCAAGCAGTGATCCACCAGCCCCGCTGCGATTTGGCCTCTTCTCCTTCCCTCAACTAACCGAGTCACGGTGTGTTTCCAAATGTCAGAGTGTAACAGGATGGCAAAGCGTCCCAGCTCGAGGCAGAGCAACAACACAGATGTAGCCACTCGCTCTTCTTCTCGGTGACAAACACTGGGACTTGGAGCAGTGCTTTCATGTATGTGCTCACGCTTGAAAACATTTACAGTTTATGACCCTCTTGGTCAAACTGAAACAATATTCACTTTTTCCCTGCAGTCCAAGACCTCCTCTGCATCTTCGAAACAGAAGCACTATATGTTTTCAAGGGACAGTTCACCCCAAAATCAAATTTACATAATTTCCCTCTAAACTGTAGCCCTATTTATCAATTTAAACTCTTTTGGTGTGAGTTGCTGAGTGTTAGAGATATCAGCGTTAAGATGTCTGCCTTCTCTTGAATATAAGAGAACTAGATGGCACTCGGCTTGTGGTGCTTGAAGTGCCAAAAACATAAATTTCAAAAACTCAGTCAGCAGCAATGTCTCCTTCCAGAAATCATGACCTGGTTACTGAAGACAATCCACAGACCTTTTTGTAAGCAGTTTCATGTCTTGACTTACTTGACTTAGACCCTTTTGCTCCTTGGGGAGCATAGGTCATACACGGACTTTCTCTATCTGGTTCGGTGTTGGGCGATCTTCTCTGCTTCCTTCCATGGATGTTTGTGATTTCTTGAGTTTTACCTCGACAGACCTTCTCCATGTGTTCTTTGGTCTTCCCGGCTTTCTTCTCCCCTGTGGGTTCCAGGATAAGGACTGTCTGGTTGTGTTGGAGGGAGGTTTCCTCAAGTTGTGCCCAATCCAGCCCCATTTCCTGCGTTTGACTTGTGCTTCAAGTGGTTCTTGTTGTGTGGTTTGCCAGAGCTCTTCATTTGTTTTTGTATTTGGCCAGTATATTCCCAGGATGTGTCTTGAGCATCTGTTTAGAAAGGCTTGCAGTTTGTTGGTGGTGCTTTTGTAGTTGTCCATGTTTCTGCCCCATAAAACAAGACAGACTTGACATTTGAATTGAAAATGAGGAGTTCCAGATTGGTCTTAATATAAGAAAGGATGATCTTGCTTTTCCTATTCTTGTTTGGATGGTGGTGCTCAAAGCGCCACAAACATACATTTAAAAAACTCAGCAACAATGTCTTTTTCCAGAAATCATGATCATGACATAGAAATCTTTCTATGGAACCACACCGGCACACTTAATCATCGCACAGAAAAAGGTGTGCATGGGTGAAAGGCTCGTGCTCGTGGCAGTGTGACATGTAAACACTGAACTGTAAGACCTGACCTGCAAGAATAGCTAGCTAGTCTTTTGGTTGGCAGATGTAGTTTGGTATAAGGAAAATAGTTCCTACATAAAAATTGCTCACAACAAGGTCTGTGGATTATCTTGAGGAACCGGGTCATGATTTCTGATAAGATGCATCGCTGTTTGGTTTCTAAATGTAAGTGTTTTGGCACTTTGAGCACCACAAGCCATCTACTTCCATTATATACAATAGAAGGCAGACATCTTTCCAACACTGGGCAACTCACGGCAAAACTATCTAGATTCCTGTAGAGCTACAGGTAAGAGGAGAAATGTGTATTTGTGTGTATTTTTGATTTTGGGTGAACTGTCCCTTTAAGGCAAGGATTTGCGGGAAAGAGGTAGGAGAGGTAGAGTAATAGGTGTAGCAGGGTGGAAAAGACGACCAGATGAGATATAAGTGTTGACCACTTGAGAAGAGCTCCATTTGTAGCAGAATTAATGCTCTAATAGACTCTCCACCACTTACAGAATCCATTCCCCCCCTCTTGATGACAGCATCAGCACTCCTGGAAGTAGCAAAGCATTAATTCTGGTGTCAAGATGAGAAATCATGGGTGATTTCTCTTTAAGTTATATTACAATAGTCACTTAAGGTAATGCACACCCCAGTGGTCCTGTGATTAATTAATCTGCTTTTGATTTGCTAATGACAGTTCAAGTCAAATAGAAGGTTAGTGAAGGCTGAGTCAATCCTTTTAACTGCAGCTGCAAAGAGGACTGTGGCGAGTGGAGGAGATATCATATTTATTGGTATCATCCCTCATTATAACGGCTCCTATTAGCCTGCGGCACCTTGTGTACTTACTCACAGCATATTAATAGGCAAATACACGCAGGTATCTGAGATTGCATTAAAAGTTTCCTATTAACATAAAATCTCTTGCGTTGTTTTGCAGCTGATAGTGTTGAATTAATGTTTCTTGAGACATCTAAACTCAAAAGGCTATAAATAGTGAGCTCCTCCAAGTGCAGCACTATCCGCTGTACATGAAGTACAGTAGGGAGAGAGGGCTCATCCATCCATCTCCTCCTCTGCTCCTTTACTGTCAGTACCAACACCCAAGATGAAGATGAGTGTGAGAGAGATGGGCTTCTGAGCGTCTTCCATCTCCATCCATCAATCTTAGTTGACTTCTCTAATAACCTTTACAGAGAAGTGATGTCTGATGAAAAAAAGAAGAAAGGACAGCAGGCGCCCATGTTTTCTCCAACAGGCCCTATCTCCCCATCCACCTTCCTTGCTGTGTTTTTTTGAACAAGATGACTCTAATAAAAGATTGCTGACACAACAGCCCCCGTGTTTAGAACCGCCGTTAGGCCACGGGCTTGTTTTTAATTTGAGCGTACATTCGGGGTGAAGCCTAAGGGTGTGGGTGCTGTAAGCTCCCTCTTTCCTTTTTGGATATTATTAACACCGCAGCTCTGGAATGGATGATGAGGCCTGAGCACTGGAGCATAATCGCAGGACTCTGCCATATCAACAGAAAC